AGCCGCGAACGCTAACATGACCCGGCCACGGAACTCTGTCGCATTGTCCGTGAGTATTTCCGCCGGGGCTCCACGCTCTAGAAACACGTTCTCCAGCTCACTCACAATCTCCAGAGCTCCTGCCCGGCGAAGCCGTCGCCATATGGCGTACCTCGACGGCCCGCAGTCCACCAGCGTCAGGTATGGGTGGCCGTGCACGTGGGTGACATCCATGGCCAGGCGATCCCACGTGCGTTCTGTTCCGAGTGACCCACCGGGCCAGCGCTCCGGCGCCGGGTCAATCGAGGCACACGTCTGGCATCGTCTGACCACGTCTCGCACAGCTGGTTTTGACACCCGCCTCACCCCCAGCTCACGTCGGGCGTACCACAACGTTCTCCTCACTCCTTGGTGACCGATGTTTTCGTGGATGGTGCGGATGTCACTCGCTGAGGCACTTGTGATGGCAGCGACAGCCACCGGTTGTGCTTTGGACGAATCAGTGGTTGGCTGGTCGGCAGTCTGCAGCCAGGCGTTGGGCACCCGCGTCACCTCATCAGCACGGTTGACCGCTGACGCGACCAGCTCGATAGTGACCTCCAGTTCGTACTCGATGACGAGCTGACGGAAAACAGCCACGCGCCGTCGGATAAGCATTTCGGACTGCGCCTTGGTTCGCAGCCTTGCCTTACCCGACAGCGCGTCACTCAGCCAGCGGTGCACCGTCACCGAGTCTGTCCGGAGCGTCAGGCGACGGAAGCCCCATGCTACCGCCAGGTTGACACCGTTGAGAGCGGCATCCAGTTCTGAGATATTGATGTGCACGTCCCTCTCCGATTCGGCACGCAGCCAGGACGCATCCTCGATGATGGCGCCCGTGTCAGGGTCAGTGAGCACGACACCGCGGGCGATGGAGCTGGCGTCGGTCCACACCACGACGCTCGTCCCTGTCACACACCACTGGCCGCGTGCCGGGTCACATGCTCGAAACCGCCGTGACACCTCATCCACCTCACGTTGTAGTTCCTCGCTGACGATCGGAGTGTCCCAGTCCGGGCTGAGGCGGTTGGCAGTCCGCTTCATCCATGCAGCGGCCGGCCGCAGCCAGCCTGCGACCGGCACATGAGATGTCAGCTGGCCGGCCCACGCGAAGACAGATCGCCGCGTTAGCACGGGTGGAGCCTGCGTTGGTGACTCCCCGTCCCTACTCCACTGGAGTGCCGGCCCGTCGCTCTCGGCGACACGAAGGCCCAGCATACGTGCACCGGTCGCGACCCGCTCCGGCGGCTTGCATGTGAGCCCGAATCGAGCGAAGTGCTCGGCAACCTCATCAGCCGAGACCACCGCTTCGTTGACCAGCAGATCATCGGCGTAAGGCAGCACTGCCTCTGCCAACCCGGGGCTCTGTGCGAGCACCTTCCTGACCACAGCCTTCATGATCAGAGGCGCGATACTGAGCCCAAAGCCGACCCTGGTCAGGCAGTACCGCCGCCCTTGCACGATGACTGTCTGGTACGGCCACAGGGCCGGGTCCACACGAAGCTGAAGAAAAGCTTTCTTCAGATCCAGGACAGCGACCCGGCGTCCGTGACGTCGCCACCTTCGCAGCTCTTCCACGCAGACGTCAGCGTCGGCTGTGTGACGTGTCAGGTGTTGATTAAGTTCCCGATAATCTAACACCGGCCGCACCTTGTCCTTCGCTGCCTGAGTAACCACCATCAACGGGATCAATCCCTGTGCGGGACCGTACATCGTCTCATCGTATTCGCGCAGCCAGCCCTCACTAATCCACAGCGCCAGCTCTGCATCGAATTTTTCACGCGCACAACTCGGCACACCGTACTGAGCTATCGAGTTTCCAAGCGGGGGCGGAGCCACGCCACCGGCCCATTTCCAACGGACTGTCCACACATCATCGAACACAGCCGTGAAGTCAGTCTCGTCAATCCTTAGCTCCGGCTCCGTGTCGACCGCTCGACACACCTCCCGCTCCGGCGGGACCTCACGCTGCACCACAGCAGCCGTGTCGACCGCACGACACACCTCCCGCTCCGACGGGGCCTCACGCTGCACCACAGTAGCCGTGTCGACCGCTCGACACACCTCCCGCTCCGGCGGGGCCTCACGCTGCACCACAGCAGCCGTGTCGACCGCTCGACACACCTCCCGCTCCGGCGGGGCCTCACGCTGCACCACAGCAGCCGTGTCGACGCTCGCAACTGGGTTGTCGCTCCCGAAGCGAACGGATCCTCCACTTACACTCACGCCCTGCAGGGCGTCAATGCCGGTCATGCCCAGCAACACGTCTACGCCCAGCAACCGGGCCGGTACGACGACCGCCCGCACACTCACTGTCGCCCCGCGCACTCCAAGGCTGACCACAGCCCGCCCACAGCACAGCACCGGGCTGTCGTTGACAGCGACCAACCTGGCGTCACTCCGCTCCCAGCAGGACACCATGCCCTTCCACACCACTGTCTCGCTGCACCCTGTGTCGACGAGTGCTCGGCACTTGCGCCCATTTACATTGATGTCGATGATGGGGGCTCTTGGGTCACTGCGGCAGCTGGCGACGGCGGAGCCCGTGGCGCTGATGTAGCGCCGTCGCCGTGCCCGTTTGGGCAGAGCCGGGCGATGTGGCCTACCTGGTTACAGGTCCAACACCGCAGTGGTGGACGGCGACCCGTCCCTCTGGCTCCCCGCTGCTGCTGTACATATGATGGCGGCGGCTGGACGACAGCCACCGATGCAGTCGCTCTCTCCCTGGCCGCCATCGCCAACGTTGACCTAGCGACGGCGACGGCTCGCTCCAAGGAGAGAGTTTCATCTCCAGCACTGTTACGTACTGTTAGCCGCACCTCCGGCGGCAGACCTTGCAGGAAGTGCGTCGTCATCACTTCGTTGGACACTGAACCTATGAGGGATATCAGCCGCTTGACTGATCCCAGGTAGGCATCCACAGACTCGCCCGGTTGTAGACGTCGGTGATACAGCTCATACATAGCCGCGTCGGGTCCCAATGCAAATGCACGATGCAGTTTTTGGCGGACGATTGCAGCATCCCGCTGCTCGGTGGAGGAGAGGGTGGCCCACACCTCGTACGCCTGGTCCCTCAGGCGTGTGGGTATGACAGCGGCCAGTGACACACGACGCAGGGCACACAGCTGTGTCGCCTGCTCCAGCCATCTGACGACGTCACCGCTGCCGTCGAACTCCGGTATTGCCCGCAGATCGAATGCAGGCGCAGGAAACTCTGGTTCCATGGTATTGGTACCAGCTACCGGTGCACCACTGCCCTCTTCTACGTCAGACATAATCACAACACTTAGTCGAGAAGGCCGAAATAGCTTGTCGTACTGACTTAAAAGTCACCGTCCAGCACAAGAAGAAGATCTATTCTGCTCTCCTCTACATCTTCCAGCCAACTAAACTCACAATCCCCCTCCTGGCACATCCACAGCTCGCAGACACACATCTCACATCATCACCAACCAATCGCGCTGTCATACGTCATATATCTCACATCATAACCAGCCAATCATGCTCCCATACGTCATGCCCGGCCCAGCTACTTGCAGGGTGTAACTCGGCCCTGCCGGCATCAGATGCCGGCGGCTATGACCAACGCTGGGTCACCGGTTCACAGCTCGACGCTGAAGCTGACTCACACTTATACGGCTCACATTCATCCTTGCGTCACGCTACAATTAGATTAGCCTTTGAGTGCCCAATTCGGTCTCTGATGGTCTCAAACTGCCCTTTGGAGGCCCTGTACTGGTCTCTGAGGGCCCTAAACTGGCCCCTAAGGACCCAAACCAGCCTCTAAAGGTCCCACACCGGCCTCTGATGGTCCCATTTCTGTCTCTGGGACCCAAACTGACCCTTATGTGCCTCTGAGGGCCCCGTACTGGCTTCTGAAGGATCTATGCCGTTTCTGAGGACCCATAACGGTCTTTAAGTGCCTCATACCGACACCTGAGGCCCCACACTAGCCTCTGAGGGGGCCCAAAACTGGCCTATGAGGTCTCTACACCGGCCACTGATGGCCCTATTATGTTCTCTGGGGGCTCAAGCCTTACCTTTGGACGTCACGCACTTGCCTCTGAAGGCCCACATCAGCCTCTGGGGCCCTACCTGGGGCCTTTGAGGCCCTTCGCTGACCCTTGGATCCAACGCCGGCCTCTGGGGGTCTGACACCGCACTATAAGGGCCCCATTGCAGCCTCTAGGCGATAGGTATCGCTGAAGCGCTATCGATGGGCCGAAGTAAGTGTAGGAACCATGGGTGCAGTGGGCGCAGTTGCACCAACAATAATTCTGCATAGGGTGCAGACAATGTATTCTGCATCCACAATAATCTGGAACAAACCCCCTTTTCTCAGCAACACTATACTTTCCATGCAGCACGACAAATTTAGGATATTTTGCCCACTATCCATCTTTCGAAGCATTTGCTACTGTAATGGTCTTCAAAACTTACATTTGTGCTCAAGTACCTAAAAAACAAAATGAAACTGAACACGTGTGATTGAACAGTGAACAGATACCGATGACCCACTGTCAAAAGTTTTAGCACGATGATCTCAGAAAATGGCAAAGGTAGCCTTCTTTACTTTTGCGGTAGTCCATTCACATTTGCGTGAGTTATTGGCATTATCAATGCTTTAAAATGCACTTATCGGTACCTTTTCGACATGGAACATCCTCAAAGCTCGCAATGAGCCTCCGCTCGGGTGCCGCTCCCTACCCCCCCCCCCCGCTTCACCGGCCATGGCCTGGATTTCTGCACCCGTGCACTACGCCCGTGGGCCCCTTCTAGCACCGGGCCCCCCGGGTCAGCACAGGGGCCCCTTTGCCAAGTTGGCCCCCCCCCCCAAACTCCAAGTCTGCGACCGCCCCTGCAACCGGTGACCGTTGCGCACTTCTAGCTACGCCTTTCATGCTGTTATTATCTAACAGTGAATCTCTCGCCGTCTTTGGACATATGCGCTAACATGTGTTTCTTTTCTGATCTCTCCTCAGAATCGGCCGACAGCGGAGCGGACGCGGCGCCCCACCCCTCTGCCGGGCCAGCGATACAGAGGGCGCCACAGGCTGGCAGCGCAGCGCTCCGTTCCGCACTGCTGTCTGTAGGTGGCGCTGGCGAACCACCGGGCGCTAGTATAGATGACGCCACTCGCGAGCCGGCTGTCCGTCCGCCTTCTGGAGTGGCGCCGATGGCGACATCTGTCGGCTGAAAGCGGCCCTCGAGAGGAGCCGCAGGGGAACCAAACCACAATGTGATCTCGTGTTATGCGCCGGATGGATTTGTCGTGCTGAAGGACCAGACACCTGTGAACAAACGCTGCCGACTCCGGCCGGCGGGCTCCGTGTGACGTGAACGGAAACTGCGAGTTAGGAGATCCCTGAAATCGGGAGTGCATTATGTCATCTTGTCGTTACTGATGTTCCTACTGTGTGCACTGGTGGGTGGCACGTGCCGTTTGCGAGTGGGGGGTCTTAGTGTGTGTATGGGGTGCTGTAGGTACAGATGGCTTGTACCCCTTCCCCACGGTAAACCTGTGATGCATTAACACTGCTGTTGGGACTGGGATTGTCGAACGGGGTCTGCGAGCGAGCCAGCAGTGTCAAACGGTGTTATACGGACGACGGATGGCAAGTGACGCGCGCGGAAATAACTAATCTACTTCAGAGTTCCTGAGCTGTGTGCCTTGACAATCCTCGCATTTTACCGTAGACACCGTTTGTAGACCGCCCCCGGGCCGGCTGTCACGTGACGGCCTGTGACGTCACGGGTCGTGCCGCGCCTCCGTTGGACATTCCTGCAGCCACTAACACGTGTTCCTACCGCCTCTCCAGCTCGGCGCCGTGCTCCCCGAGCCGCCAGCGCACGTGCCATCCGACCCGACACCGCCACGTGCCCACGTGTCACCACGTGCCGAGACCCGTGGCGGCTCACGGAAGCCCAGAAAATCCACATTCATTGTCGTTCTCCGCTAGGAATTTCTATGAGGTGCTTTTTGTCGCAAAGATAACGCGAGCTTGGTGTTATATTGGTGCGATCTTGACGCGTTTTCGGCAGATGCGGGATCAGTTGTACCGTGTCTAAATGAGCTTGTTACCTGGTTTGAAGGAGGGAGCAGTGACGTGTTATACGTCACACGTGATACGGTGTCCAGTGTGTCAGCTGTGTGTACCGGTGTGTATGAGTTTCGTTATGGCGTGTCGTCCAAGGGCAGAGAGCGGCCCAAAGGGCGGCGAGTCAGGGCGAGTGCCGCCGCTGACCGTCTTTACGTTGTGTGATGTCCACTTCAGTTGTTTGTTGGCACGTGACAACATAATCAACACATCCCGAGACCGGCAAATACAGATCGTGACAGGAGGCGCCGCCTGTTTTGATTGGTTTCCAATTGTAGGCACGCCCGACGCCGTGCCGGGCACGGGCATGTTTTCGCCGGCATATCCATGATTTTACGTTTAAAACCTCAATGTGATAGCGAATGGCTATTGAGAAGGGCACGTTTGAGATCATCAATTATATTTTCCTTCAAGCATTATGCGCTTTTTGAATCAGCATACGACGACGACCAATGCTACGAGTGACCAATATCATCAGTGAACCTCCTTGTACGGAAGCCGGAATATGCAGTGAAAGGGACGTGGTTAGGCGGGCCGTCAGAGCGGGTCACTTCCTCACCGGGCGCTCAGACGATGACAGGTCAAGGGGAGGCCCTGACCTGACCTTGCCCCGGCCAGCTGACCTGGCCTGTCCGCGGTGGTCCTCCCCCCCGCCCGCCCGCGGGCGGATGATCCGCGATTAGGCGGACCCGGCGGACGCAGCACCGACCGCCGGCCGGCACGTGCCGTCAGGGGCGGCGGTGTAGCCTTCCGGACACAGGTGTACACTGACGGAGACTGCTGGCGGGGTGTGACCGGCGCCACTCAGCTGAGGCCGGCACAACCCGCCCGGAGAGATGGCACTGCCCGGACCACACTCCACCGGCCGCGGCTCCAGTACGTGTTCGATGGATTCGTCCACTCTCAGACTGGTGTGTAGCGCCGCCGGCGGCCGGAATGGGTCTCCCTCCGGAGCCGGGACGACACGGGATGTGTTGATGGTCGTCCCCGTCTGCGTGACCTGGGGAACCTCGCCGGGGGGACAGTCGGGCGCTCCGAGATGCTGGCTGCGAGCGCTGAGCGGGGCTGTCACCAGAGCCAGCAAAGTGCTCAGAACAGCGACAAATGATGGACAGTATGCCATATTTTGATTTAGGTACGTCAGTGGTCAGTCGACGATCGATCGGGTTTGCGGAACTTGATGGCGTTGGACGAATTCGCGCTTCACTCTCACTGAATGGCTGGGCTGAACCCAGGAAACAACAGCCGACGACACAGTCCACACGGCACCACTGGCAATATCCCTGAGGTCTGAGAGACTGACCGCGAGGCCGCGATCCGAGGTCAGCCAATCATCGTCCGCGTCTTGTCACCTCACGTCTGTTCAGTAGGCAGATTTGCCCGGATCCGGGGTGTGTGGACGAAAAGTAGCATCAGTGCTCCGGGATTTGTCGGCAACGGTACCTACATGTTGATTGCGATATTTATTTCAATAAACTATGTGCTTACTGCCTATGATCTGAATCCGGCAAAAAGATGGCTATACCTTCTGTTTACAGGCCAGCAACCAAGGCCCAACAACAACACTTTTATCTATACCTAATCTGCCCAGCACCTGCAATAGCTGATGTCCTATAATGTATAATGGCTACGCTGGGTCAAACCAAGAGGTATTTACCGAAATTAGTTTGTTTTTATCTAAGAAAACATTCATTATCTTTCAAAAGTATTGTTCGGTGTTCCTTCCATTTTCGCAAAACTCGTCTGAGAATGCTTGTTAGATGCTATACGGTATATTTCACGGGAAATAAAAGTAGTGTGAATAACCGCCATATTCAACTCGCTGCGCCATGAACGTCTTATGGGACGAGTTTCTGGAAGTTGTTTGAATTTATTCTTGCTTATATTTGGATGGTATCACAATATAATTCGGATTTGCGTTGAGTTTTAATGGGTTGAAGACATCTTTTCACCACATACTGAAAAAGGCACGTATATTTGGTTATGTACTGCTGTATAATCCTATATCAATAAAAAAATGTGTCTGTGCATGGGGGTCCTGGGTTTGTATTAAAGGAAATATACCATTTTAAACATCAGATTTCGAACTGAAATGACAATTTTGTAGCTTGAGCTGAGAATAGCACAAATCAGAAACTTTTTATGGTCCTATTACTATGCGTTACGAATACGCTTACCCTAGACAACTGACAAGGACATTTCAATTTCATTTCTCGTTCCAAAATCAGATTGTCGCACAGGAATTCAGTGCTGCCTCATGGAAGAATGCTAAGAGTGCTGAGCCAGCTGTCACAGAGGCCAGCATCAACCAGTCAACATTCACTTGTTCCTGAACTCTGCAATATGATTGGTTGACACTTACTGAGCTTCTGCCGTAAGAGCAAAGTATATTGTCTATTTAGCGATCTACCAAGGATGAAATATATGTTATGTTGGATGAAAACATTCTTGTGACATCTGCTCTACCAATGCAATTATTCCTTTATTAAATTATTTTAAAATTGCTTTTGCAAGTATTAATTATTTTCTTTTTTGAATTGATCATTTTAACCATAAAAAATAATGAAACTTGAAACTGTAGAAAAGAAATTAGGAAAGTGGTGTATTTTCTTTAACTGTGATGTGTTTCAGACCTCAAGCTCAGCCTTCAGAGGGGGAGGTGAGCATGTTAGATTTTTCCCCTTACATTTTTATTTAAAAAAAAAGTATGGAAAAGCTGTTTTAACCATTCAGCAGATGGTACTATAATAAAATCAAATCTGAGGAATCCAGTGAATTCTGGTGAAAATGAAAAGACAATGAGAAATCTTTGGAATATGCCCGCTGCAGTCTGCATCCAATACCACATTTCTGTATCTGCTTATGTGTATGCTGGTCATGGTGTCCTTTTGCTTCCTATGTAAGCAGCTATTTTGTCTGTTCAAGTATGCATCAAAATGTTTGTCTTTGCCCTCACAAAATGCTTGTTGTGTTTCAGTACAATGATATCCTGCCAAGCACACTGTTGAAGCATTGCATAATGTGATGGCAGGATCTCATCAGCCTGAGGCTCTCCTGGATAAGCTAGATAGTAAGTGGATGTGGCATAAAGCCTCTGTTCAGTTGGGCTACAATTACCTTTGCTTTGTTTATCGGTTTTCTTCAGCTCTAAGATGACGTTCATGTTTCAATGTTTCTGGACTGTCAACAGCTATATTGTCCTCCAGCAGTGGATTATCATAATGCCTCCAATGGTTTGTGATATATGGAGTTATGATGAGTGTGTACCACAATCATCTAATTCTGTCATTGCCTTTCCAGGCCAGCAGACCAACCGACTTCAAAAGCTTATTGCCCTCGAAAGGCTGTCTGAAGATTGTGAAAATGGATTTAGTTCTTCCAAGCTTGAGCTTATGCTCAAAAAGGTCACAAGTATCAAAGGTAAACTTGAATGTTTTCTCATATTTTTCTTTTTGAATGGAAGAATTCAGATTCAATACCTCTCCCCCTGTCATTAAACATCGAGATAGATTATCAGCCCAGTCTCCAACTTGGCCACCTGTCCTCATTCAGTCAAGTTTTCTGTGCCAGTGTGTACCGTGTATCTCTTACTCAGGCCTGCTCGCCTCACCCTCACTCTCACTGGCGTGTCTGTATGTGGCAGGGACCACATATGCCATCCAACTACTGGACTGCTGCCTGCCGTCGGAGGAGGTGTCTCTGGCCACCATCGACCGCGCCGTCTACTTCATGGCCAACGTGAGTCGACTGCAGCGGTACCCCTGACTCTCTCCCATACCCCCTGACTCTCCCTGACTCACCCCAGTACCCCGGACTCTGCGCCACACCCTGGTGACCTCTTTCACTCGTCTTCTGACCTCTGGCCTGCCCATTGCCTCTCTGATCCGTTCTCGGGTCTCGTACTCGCCCGTCCGACCTAGCTTATCTCTCTGACACATCTGCTGCCAACCTCACTTTATGGCCCCAAAGGATGTGATGACCGACCTCTGACCGCCGGCCTCAGACCGCTGATCTCTGACCTCTTGAGCTCTGACCACTGACCGCTGATCTCTGACCTCTGACTACCGACCTCAGACCGCTGATCTCTGACCTCTTGAGCGCTGACCACTGACCTCCTGATCAGGGCTGCGGAGTCGGAGTCGGTCGGAGTCGACTTTTCTGATCGGAGTCAAGGTTCGAGTCAATTTGTCAATTTGTCGAGTCAAAGCTCTTGTCAAAGACGGTGAATGAGTCACCGAAAACCCATCGACTCTGCAGACCTTCCAGGGCTTACTTTACGCTTACTTTTTTCGTAAGAGAGGGCTGCGGAGTTGGAGTCGCAGTCGGTGGGAGTCAATAGTTCTACCCGGGCTTTGAGTCTGAGTCAGAGTTGATTTTTGGAAGCCAGAGTCGGAGTCGGGATCACCGACAATCCATCGACTCCGCAGCCCTGCCTCTGATATCTGACCGCTCACTTCGGACGGCGGACGGCTGACTTCTGACCTTTAGCTTTAACCTGTGACCTCTGCCCTCTGACCTGTGACCGTCCGCCCCCAGCCTCACACGGCGCCCACCCTGAGGCGGGCGCTGCTCAGCTGGCTTCTGGCCGGCGCGCTGCACTTTTTCGGCCCCGAGGCGCGGCGCCACCTGCACTCGCACTACGGCGTTATCTTCTGCCAGATCGGCTGGAGCCACATGGTGGGTGATGACGTCACACGATTGGCTCACACGATTGGTGAACGCTTGGCGATGGGGGAGAGAGAAGTCTTCGTAAAAGTTTGTGTCACTGTGGTGTAATTGGAGAGGTGTGTCACTGTCTTTATTGGAGGTTCTCCACTATAGCTAATGACGTTATTTAGTATTTATGCACAAAGATCTCGAGAACTGATGAGATGAGTTGACCGTGCTGCTCCTGCTGACCCTCCCTCCGCGGTGGTGTGCCCCTCCGCAGGTGAACCTGACGTGCACGCTGCTGTACCAGCTGACCGAGCACAGAGACGTGCAGCAGCACCGGGTCGACATGCTGGTGACGAGGTCGGCCGCCTCTGACAGCGGGCCGCGCTGGGCGCTCATCAGGTCAGTCACGGGGGCGCTCATCAGGTCAGTCGCCGGGGGGGGGGGGGGGGGCTCATCAGGTCAGTCGCCGGGGGGGGCCTCATCAGGTCAGTCGCCGGGGGGGGGCCTCATCAGGTCAGTCGCCGGGGGGGGGGGGGGGCGCTCATCAGGTCAGTCGCCGGGGGTTGAACAGGGCGCACCTTGGGGGTAGTTGGGAGCTGTACATAGACTGGGCGCTCATCAGGTCAGTTGGGTGAACGTGTGTGTGGGAGGGGGAAGGGGGACGCCCGTCAGGCCACTCGGGTGGATGGATTGGACGGTTCTAATGAGCGTCGGTCGTCGGAGTGGACAGGACGGGTTCATCAGGTCCGTCGTGAACGGTTAAGGAAGTGCTCAATGGACAGAGATTCGACGACTGGGACACGAATTAACGATACGCACTGGACGTGGGTTGTTTTGTTAGGACGATCCAGCCACCCAGCTACTACTGCAATTGATAGAACACCAGGTACACTTAGAATCTGTGAACAGCAGTTTCCATGTGATGTGAGAATGCGTGGGCGAAAAAAGTAAGGGTTTTTCTTCTGCCTTAGGGCGCTAATTGCGAACATACGCGGACGTTCTTAAAAAGGAGGCACGACATCGAGAGCACGTTTGGCCGTCTCTTCTACGAGACGTATGCAAATGTCCTGTTCCTTCGTTCTCCCTTATGCGATACACAGCTTGATGAGTGACGCTAAGCCGACTCTCAGAGTAGGACAGTTTATAAAACTGGATGAGTAATGAAAAGTCCATTCCAGTCATGGAGGAGTGGGAGGAAGCAACAAGTGTAAAATAGAAAAAAGGAACAATGAAATACCGAGCGAAACATGTTTTAAAGTAAAAAGAAAATCACCTGTGATCTGATTTGATCTTCTCTGTTGATTGTTTCAACCTGCTTAACGCTATTCTCGACCGTAACATATCCGTGTTTTTAATGATGAACTACTTGATGGGTAGTGTAATGAGCAGGTATTTTTTGCTTGAAATCATGTTGTAACATTTCGTTTTTGGTCTATATGCCGCTTGACATTTATCAATCAATTTATTGCCGTTAATATCGAAAGTTGCCCAGGCATTTCATTTTTATTCATGAAACCATTTCAAGTTAGGAGCGAGTATTTCGTTCGAACATATTGGAATATATCATTAATCCTCTTTTTCAGCCTTCATATAAAAACTAATGGTATATGACATTTTAATACATTTACATGTCCATAATCATGATTTTGGTTATTTGTGATTCGCGAATCGGAGGTTACTGTTAAATTTAAGCCATAAATCTGCTTTCTCCGAAAGCCCTCTAATTTGAAGCACGTGGATATATTAAACGCGCACAAATAATGTCATGCTAGAACGACATGAACGAGATGAACGATTTTTGCAGATTGCAAATGTTAAAAAGTGTATACGTTTTCTAATTTTTATTCGGTAATTTCCCTGGTGTGGTGCAGTTTCTGATATTTTAGTGTCGAATGTGATTTTATGCTTTGTGTGAACTCCCTATCAGCTCGTTGACATAAACAATGGGACAAGCGGAATCCAAAGAATCTGAACAGAATCCCGGTCATGCACCACAACATGCTCGAAGGAATACTGTGCACGGAACCGAGAGGACACGACGTCCCACACCGCCGATCGCCCATTCCGTCTCCAAGCGTCCGACAGAAACGAAACGCACACCGGCGGGCCCATCGGCTCCGCCACGACTTGGCGGAACACCGCAGAGCTTTCCCAGGTCTCGCACTCTGACCAACGTGCGGCCTCGCGGGCCAGCGTCGGCTGCCCCGCAGCGTCAGGCTCCAACTCTTCCGCGCACTAGTGGCAGGCTGCAGCAGCAGTTTGCCGTTCGACCCACGGCGAGCTCAACAGCGAGTCCCTCCCTGCCGACGCCGTCGAGGAGCCAGCCGATTCCCATCAGTCAGCCGGCGACCCGGTCCCGATCGGAGCGGCCGGCCCAGGACAGGGCCAGGCCTGCGCGCCGCTCCGCACCGCCGGCCAAGACGGCCGTCCAGGCGACCGACAGCGACCCAGAGCCCGCCGGCCCGCCGGCCAAACGGGTCACCCGCAGCCGCACCGCTGTCCCGACGGCCGGACAGACGCCATCGGGCCCCGCCCCGTCGACCTCGACCACCACCACCATTACCACCTCGACAGCCGACTTCACGGCCACCCCCGGCCCATCGACGTCCAAAAGACGACCGCGCGCCGAGCCGCCGTCTGACGACGAGCCGACGCGCATCGGAGACGTCGAACCTGACTCCCCTGACGACCGGGAGGACAAGATGTCGATGAGCTCTGCGAGCAGCTCCGTCGAGAACGACTCAGACGACGCGGCCTCGCAGTCGTCAGACAGCTCGGACGACCCGGACGGACTGGATTTGGACCTGGACGGACCGGAGGAGGACGGCGATGACCAGTCTCAGACTACTGACGAGAAGTCCGAGGTGTCGGCCGGGACGGGCCGACACCTCCCGGCAGCTCCGACCGCCGGCCGCCAGCGGGCCCGGCGGACGGCCAGTCCGGCGGCGGCGGCGGCGTCCCAGTTCGCGCTGCGCCGCAGTCGCCGCCGCTCGGTGCCGGTGCGTCACCTGCAGGTCGATCCGCACCGTCACTCCTACGTTAGCGTCTGAGCACTACTGAGCGGGACACTGAGAAAGGCGCGCTCACCCGCCGTCAGATCACTGGAGAGAACCAGAGAGGGAGGGATGGAGGAGGGGAAACGGCAGCGGAGCGGGCACCGGTGAAACCAAATTCGTCGTGTTAGGGGTTTGTCTATGTTTAGCGCTTCTGTCACTTGTCTAGGAATACTGAACGATCCCAACGACTGGTTTTAATGCGAACAGAAACTGTTTGTCTATTTAAAATACTAGGCCGATTCTAGACGTTGTTTGGTTCCCGATTGGTTTCACCACTCGCAGCTGGGAGCAGGCGAGAGGGTCGCGATGGGAGAAAAGGCCATGGTTGAGAATGGTTATAAAGGGTACTTAGGTGTTTTTGGCTGTTGCATGCAGGCTGCGTTCAGGAAAAAGACTAAACGGACGCAGATTTTGACCATCGTGCGCAAGTGTGCTTCAGTTTTACAATGAACGAAACGAGGCGATACAAATAAAGAGGATGAACGAAAAAATTTCTCTTTTGTCTAACATCTGAATAAAGGCTTGCTGATTGTATTTTTTTTCTGTATGGTTTCTTGCCAAATAACAATTGCAGGGCGCAGTTGATTCTCACACGAAAGGGGATCTGAGCCAACTTTGGACAGACTGGGTTAAGGGGATGGAGTGCCTGACCCCGCAGATCTCGGAATGTTAGCAATTTGGCAAATAACTGTAACCGCCGCTCGGATATGAAATTCTTTCAAATGTTTTCTGGTCTACATATGTATGATTCACTAACCTCCAGAATGATTTAACCACTTAACCAGAGGACGTAAAAAGTCAGTTTTTGCGAGGTCCTGAGACTGACGATTCCGACAAACAGCGCTGTATACATAGTGTATGTATGTACATAGCTCGTGAAATAAACATATTCGGAAGGGTGACAAGAAAGATATCTCGTTGTTAAATATGTTTACGTTCTGGTTCGACAGATTTGAGCTGTCATTATAACTATAGTCTACGGATCATATGATGTCAAATGACCTACTTTTTCAGATGCATTTATATCGTTTCGATCGAAAGATACTCTGCAAATTTGCTTGAAACGGTGCAGCACTGCACGAGGAAGGATCTCCCAAAGTACTTTTTAAATTTGAGAACGTTTTCGGGGAGTGTGCCCCCGCTCCGGATAATGTCACCTCTCCGGGTCTGCCGGTCAGCCGGTGACTGGCCGTGCTATCCTGCCGCCAATGACAGTCGTCTGTTTGTCTCTCTGTTTCGTACAGGAAGTACCGGCAGCTGCGTCCCGACATGGTCCTGTCGTACGGCGGCCCCGACTCGCAGACGCGCTGGGAAAAGCCGCGCTCGCAGCTGATGACAAACCTGAACCGATGGAGACTGCGCAGGGACGGGGCCGGCGCCGCGGCCGCCGCGGGTACAGGAGGCGCGGGCAGCGCGGCCGGTCCCGGTGGAGACTTCTGGGAGTTGGCCAACAAGGTGAGAGTGGCAGCGTGGAATGAAGGGGACCTGTCGGGAGCTCTGGGCTGCTGTTGGTGGAAAATGACTTAATTTTTCAGTGTGAAGTCATCTTTTGATAGGTTGAGCTTGTTTATTTGTGATTATCATTTAGAATATAACACTCGCTTTCGAATAAAATAATGAGCTTCTTCTCAGTGCTCAGGCTACGGTTCTGCCCACCGTTCAGCATTGTCGTCCCTGGAACTGCCTGTCAGTTTCGTCCCTCCCTCTAAGTTCCCTCTACGGCCGTCAGGTGTCGCGCTGGACGCCGGCGCTGCCCGTGCTGCCGGAGTCGGTGGCGGCTCCTGGCGGCGGCGCGCCCGACCCGGACCAGGGCCGCCGCGACCTGGCCTCGCTGGGCTCGCTGAAGGAGGTGGTGGCCGAGGGTGCCGTCGGCTTCCGGTCGGCCAACAACCTGACGGCCCTGGCGCTGAGCAGCCACCGCCGGGCCGTGCTGCTGCTCTCGGACACACGAGAGATCGACACCGCAAAGGTCGGTGGGACGACGGGGCGGCGGGGGTTTACGGGGCTCGACAATTTTTTCATAAGATCGACAGAGGGCACTAAATTATTATTTTATCGATGTAGCATAATGTTACATATCTCCCAATCAGTACCTTCCCGATTCGTCAGTAGGTAAGTTGGAGACTTCAGAATATGCTGGTGACGCAACTACAGCCACCACCATCCTCCCCTTCACATCCCACAGCTAACCTGCTGATCACGCTGCTGAAGTCTCTGACACACTCCCCCCGTCCCGCTCCAGATGAGTCTGGACCTGCTGGTGACGCTGCGCCAGATGCTGGTGTACGACCCGCGCCGCTACCCGGTGCTGCGTCGCCGCCAGCTGATCCGACAGGTGCAGCTGTGCCACCGCGTCGGCCTGCCGCTCAGCGCCGGCCGGCACCTGATGCGCACACTGCTCGAGGGCGCGCGGCCCGAGCACAGCGCGCTCTGGCTACCGGCGCTCGACCTGGTGCCGTTCTACGGGTGGCGGCCGCAGGCGGTGCTGCTGGCGGCCCTGCTGCGGCCCCTGGAGACGCTGGTGGCCGCCGCCGACCGTCACGCGCGCCTGCACGTGGTGCACGTGCTGACCGAGTTTGTGGTGCAGCTGGCGCGCCATGACCTGCCGCTGGTGGTTCGGCGCGCCTTCCCCTACAGCAGCCAGACGTGTCGAGACGAGGTGAGGCGGCGCTGAGCGGGACGGACGGGGCACACGGGTCAGCTTGTGACGCAAAGAGGGACGCCGGATGGAGAGGTTACGGAGGGGTGGAAAAAACTGTGAATCTATGCTCGGCATTATCCCTTTAAACTGCTTACCTCGATGCGTAAATGCGTAAACTGTGCAATGTGCATGTCCTCTTTCGATCAAAACATGTGTGAATGTGTCCCCGTGATGCTTATAAGTGCTCCTCACCGATTTCTCGACACCATATTGGCCTGCTTGCTCCACTCTGTCCGGTATACCGCCTATATAACTTTTATCTTCCTCGTCCCGTTCAGATCGCCTCCACCAACGACCCGGCGGTGGACGTGGCCCGTATCACGGACCACGTGGCCAGCCTGTGTAAGCGGCTGGCCGTGTCGGCGCCGGCCGCCGAGAGGATGAACCTGATGCGAGCCACCGTTAACTTCTACACTGAGGTGAGGGCCAGGGGAACAGGAGGGAGGGAAGTTCCCTGGGCCGGGTGCTTATTGAAAGGTGAGGACAGGCCGGGAGAAGCCCCACAGAAGAAGCGAGACGAGAGACCGATGGTATCACGTTTGCTAAGCTGATCCCATTTATGCTTACCCATTCGCTAGGGATCGTTTCGTGTGCTTTTGCTGAATGGCTCGCCATCGGCTATGGTCAGTTGATAGATGATAGGCTGTTAGTTGATAGGCTGTAGTATTTCTGCCGTGTATCGCTCAGGCGACATTCCCGTCTCTTTGTGTCCCTCATGGTGATCTCCGTCCCTCCGCGCGTCCCTAGGTAACCCCATACCTCCGCGCGTCCCTCAGGTAACCGCCGTCCCTCGGTGTACCCCTCAGGTGACTCCGGTGCTGCTGGAGTCGAACGTGCCCTTCCTGCCGCTGATCAGTAAGGACCTGGTGTACCAGGTGCTGCTGTCGTCGGACGCGCTGGCCGTCCACAAACTGCTGCTCACACTCTCACGGTGAGAGAGCGACGGGGGTGAGAGGTGGCGGTGACCTGCTCACAGGTCCGTCCAAAGTGGCTACAATCGAGTACCGTGCTAAAGAATGTCAGCTTACGCAGAGTGTCTCGCTAGCTGCTTATTGGACTTAGTTATTTATAAGGGGTTTGGAGAAGCATGCGGGAATAATAAGGCCTTCCCTGGCCGAGGGTGGTGGGTCAGGTTTGAGCTGTAGTGGACATCGTCCCCCTGTCTCCAGGTACCCTGGTGTGACTGTACCCTGTCCCTATATGCCCGGGTGTAACCGACCCCTGTCCCCATATACCCGGGTGTGACCGTATTCATCATCCTCATATACCCCGGGTGTAACGGCCCGCCTGTCCCCAGGTACCCGCAGCAGTCTGCGCCCCTGTCCCCATATACCCGTGACCAACCGCCTGTCCCATAATATACCCGGGTGCTATCGCCCGCTGTCACATGTACCCCGGATGTGACCGTCCCGCCTGTCCCCAGGTACCCGCAGCAGTCTGCGCGCGTGCTGGCCATGCGCTCCGACCCGGGCCTGTCGCGAGTCCGTGTCAAACTGGCCACGGCCACTGTGGGCCGGCTGCCGCACTTCACCACCCTGATGGAGGACGTGCTGCTGCTGCTGTTCGGTCGGAGGAAGGGCGCCGGCGGCCAGTTCCGCGGCGAGACGGCCGAGGTGCGCGAGCGGCTGGCGGCGCTGGCCGACGGCCTGGAGCTGGAGCTGGACAATCACGCGGCGCTGCTCAGCTACCAGCTGCTGGCGGAGACCCGGCCAGACTACCAGGTAGGTGATGGAAGACCCGGCCAGAGTACCAGGTAGGTGAAGGAAGACCCTACCAGAGTACCAGGTAGGGTGGGAGGGACGGGACCCGGCCAGAGTACCAGGTAGGGTGTGGTTCGGATGCCACGGCAACAGATTGGGCAATGTGCGCTCAACTGCTCGCTCGGGGTTCTTACCTCTTAATGACATCGGCTTTGGCAGGTGCTAAGTTTTTTTTGCGTAGCATTGTATGTTGCATTTGAATTTCATTCTTCTCATCGTTTCTCAAGCGCGTCTGTCTTCCGTCATGGGTTGCCTGTCAAGTTTGGGGCGATGACGCGTTCTTATGCGAGCGAGTCTGTCATTAGGCAGTCGGTGTGTTGTCAGGAATGTGTCGGCGTGTGTGTCAGGAATGTGGTGGCGTATGTTATGGATGAGTCTGTCATTGCTGGCCTGTTACTGTGTCAGGGATGTCTCTGCCCGTCGTGTCTAACCGCCGCCGTCCGTCGCCAGGAGGACGCTGGCCGCCACCCGGTCCTGCAGGACCTCCTGTCGGCAGACGGTCTGGTGGGCTTCACCGCCTTCCAGGAGGCGTGCGGCACTCACGGCCGCGGCCGCCGGTGAGCGGGCCGCCACCTCCGAGTGTGGAGCCACCATTCCATCGAGATTCACTGCGGGAGGGGCGGGGATTTCACCGTCGGGTGGTGAGAACCATTGCTGTGTGGCCGGCTCATGTAATTTATACCGGCAGGCGGCCGGCCGCGAGGGAGGGGAGCGTCGCCGCGATTCGTTTTAGACCGTGCTCACTGGCAGCCGTTTTGGCTTTGGAGTGCGTTTCGCCGGTGTTGTGGCTCGCTGTGTGGACGGCGCTGGGGCGAATTCTGTCTCTGCTGGCTGTCCGTTGGCCAGCAGTGAAGGGCGCGGACTGCGCTGCGAACTTAGTACACGTATATTACGCGGTGGTAGCAATAGGTAGCAACAGTATGGACTTGACTGACGCTAGTTGTATCTTTAGGCGATTTGTTCTTAGCATTGCTTCACTAACTGTGGCTCATTTCGTATGCGTCTCTTCGTCGTTTACTTTCCGACTATATAGTATAGAATATTAGCTCTTTTAGTTGTACAAAACATTAAACAACGTGCCTTTACAATGTGACCTGTCATTCAGCACATATATTCACCAATTTCACGTCCATTTTCATCATCCACCATCCGCTGTAACCGCGTGCCTCTCGGCCACCGGGCGATGTCCTCATGAATTTGTCGCGGCGTGTCGGCGACTCCGAGCCGCTGTGCCATTCCGTGCTCACTCACTGCCGCTGTGTCCCCGTGTCATTCTGTTCCGCCACGGGGCGGTACCTGTACCGCCGGGCGGGGCGGGTGTGTTCCGCGCCGGCTGCCGTGCCCGCTGCCCGGGCGGACTCCCAGTGTTGTCTGCCGCCGCTGCCGGTGCCGGACCGTTGTTGCGCTGTTGGCGGCCCGACATAAACACCTGTCGCCCCCGTTACCCGGCGTTTGCAGTGCAGTGGCGTGTCACAGCCATCGGCAGGGTATACAAACGAGGATAGTGGATATTTGCTTCCTCGACATGGCCAAGGCCTCCTAACACACGATCCGTTTTTTTTTTTTTTTAGCTAAGAGCACCAGCCGCTACGGTCGGGAATGACGTTGTTAGGCATTGAATCGAATACAGTTTGTTTTACAATAACACAAGACACTTCCTGGCATCGAGCGGAGCCCTGAGGATTCCTCATCTACGTAAATATTCGCAATTCGTATCCCTAATGCGATTAGAATCGGAATGCACATAAAACACGCCCGCAAAAGTAACTCAGGATCACGATTTATTTAAAAAAAAGCATTCGGCATGAAGTAAAATTGATGCGCAGAAAAATGCAACCCACTACATCCGGTGTAAAAAGTAAATACATATGTTCCCACACATCGTCAACTGGTAAGTGGTAATTAGGCAACCAGCCAAGTTCCAACCCACTGGGACCGGAAACAACGCGTGCCGCAGCTATTCGAACGCGCAATCCATGCGAATCACGCGTAGTCACCACAGTAAATGAGTGATAAACCCACATATCACAGTTTCGTGCCAGTCACCGCCGTACCGGCCGCCGTCACGCCTGGCTGAGGCAGTCTGCCCAGTGGTCGCCGCCCGCCGGCCCCGCGCCATCCCCGTCCAGGTACTCGTAGCAGCCATTCCGCCGGCGGATCAGGTCGCCCCAGAGCAGGGAGGTCTGACAGGCCGGACACGGCCCCTCCACCGGCAGGAGACTATCCGTGCCGCGCACTAGCTCCGCCGCCAGACAGGCCAGGTGGGCGACCAGCGGGCAGCTCGGCAGCAGACAGTGCACGCGCTGCTGGGCGGTCACCTCACCGCCGCACAGGGAGCAGGGCACCGTCAGCTCGCCGCCGTCCTCGGCCGGGCCGCGGGGCCGCACCCGCCGCGGCCGGACGGCGCCCTCCACCAGCGGCATGTGGGTGGGCGGCGGCGCCTCCTCCGGCAGCGGCCGACGGTACTGCGGCAGCAGCCAGCGCACCGTCAGCGGCAGCCGCCGCCACGGCGCCGCGCGCAGCATGGCTGACAGCACGCGCAGACAGTGCTCGAAGCGCACCTCGCGCGCACGCTTGGCCGGCACGTGGCGCAGCCGGCGCGAGCGGCCCGGGTTCTGCCAGGCCCACTCGAAGCGCAGCGCAGCGATGCTGTTGGGGAAGCCGTGCACCACCAGCGTCATCTCCCAGGGGCCGCGGTTGCTCGTACGTCCGGCGCCACCCGCCGCCCGGCCGCCGTTGTGCTGCTTGATCCGCCGGTTCGGGTCGGTCGTGTAGCCGATATAGGTGCGGCCCTTGTAGCGCGGATTCTGGCAGTACAGCAGGTACACGCCGTAGAAACTCTCCACCTCATCCATGGCTGAAGATGCACCCGATCCACTGTCAGGCAGGTGTACGAGGAGACATGCTGTCAGCAACAATCTGTGAATAATAGGGCTTACAACCATAATGTCATTTGAACTCCAAAGGTCCTTGAAAATGTTGAGAAAAATAACAGCATTATGTTAAATGGCATGGCTTGTCTGATAAGATGACACCAAAATACCAGAAATTCTGCTAGCACTTAAGGCCTACTTCTTACCTACTGGTAGGTAAGCAATTTTTAATTGAATTGAAATTTGAAGTTAAACTGAAATAAATCGAGATTCAATATGCTGTCGCCACCCAGCCACAGTCATGAGCCAGGGCCTGAAGAATTGGTAAGTTGTGAATCACCTGCATCATGCATGCGTCCCTTGACCTCCTGGGTAGGTAGTAGGTACCTACCTACCCACCCGAACTTAAACTGTCTCAGCTTCAGTCTAAAGTTTCAAAACACACTATGGCAAATCATAACATAAAAGGAAGATTTTCTGCAAAAGCCCCCGAAGCCCCTTGCCAATTCAAATTCGCCTCCTCCTCTTCCCCTGACCGCTTCGCTTCAAGATTCAAATAAATATGAAAAACAGCGTTCTTGGTTCAGCTGACAAGTATAATGTTCTATAGCAGGTGTCAGCAAAGTTTGACAGATTTGGACTTCAAGTTACCTGGCAACCTGATACAACATTGCCATTTTAACAAGCAGTTGCCTAGCAATCTCACTTTCTTCCTGCTAATTGAACACGTAAGTATTTATGGAAGCTAGTCATTCGTGGATAAATATGCTTTGCAAATGATGTCACAAAACTTTTCATAGAATTCAGAAGTTTGGCTCATTGTTAAGAAAAAAATGCCAAGAAAACTATGAAAATATAATCGGTTACTTGTCAAATATACTTTTTCACAATAAAAAACAAGTCAACAAGTACATATTTTTGTTTTGAGTCTTACAGGTTCGGATGGTCATTCCTGAAACGAAGAGTTTCTATGACGTCATCGAAGCCGTATAAGACATAGAAGATGCCTACAAACAATAGGCAGTTGTCAATCAATTTCATTCTAATTTCAATTTATGTATTTTGAAGTTACGTGAGGTGAGTTCGCAAATAATAACTTTGAATGTGGTAAATAAGAACCCACTTCTTGTAAATATCAACATGTACCATCCCGCACGGCGCACTGATGCGTTATCAATCTCAACGCAGCATACCTATAACCTACCCAAGGCTATATAAACCTACCCATGCGTTACCAATCTCAGCTCTCACTAAATAGCCAAAAGTGGATTAGAAATAAAATTCTGATCATAAAGTAGCATTTGAATATCATGAGGGTGTGTGCAGCGCCACACAGCAGAATCACCGCCCTGAAGCTGACCATTGAAATGTCATGGTAGGATCAGTGAGGACACTGGCACCTGTGGTCCCCCACAGAGGGATGTTTCGAGGCAGTGGTGAAGGCCGAAGGTGGCCATATCAAGTCAGAATGCCGTCTTTGAGATGTGTACATGTTACTGCATTTACATATGTTGATGTACCAAAAATCAATTTGATATCTTTGTCCTGGACCAAAATATTTCAAATGAACAAGTTCCTACATCTTTTTGCTCCACCCTGCATAGCATTCACTGTATTCAGCAACACTGCACCAGGACAGCGGTTCATCAGCACAGTACTGAGTGCAGAGAAGGGGCCCTCAGCCTCCACTCAAAATTCAAGCTGCACCATGGTAAAACTGTACCACAAGGGATGTAAATCAGCACTACAGCGCGCACTAGCCGAGTGCCAGGCACTGATGATGTCTCAGCATTACTATGTTTCACAGTCAGGGCATGGGCTGATTGCTCACTAGCCTCTGCAGCTATTTGCTCAATTAACTAACTTTTATTTTACTCCTTGCAGGTAAATTGTTTTTTTTTTCTAGTCTCAAGCCTAAGCCATAATCTTTACTTGGCCATGGAAGGCCCAGCACACTATTTGTTATTACTGCTGATCTGTAGCTCAGTGAGCTGTGGACCCACTGAGCTTACCATAGAAGTGGGAGCTGGCAAGACAGAGTGCTTCTTCGCATCTGCCAAGATAGGTGAATACATTGATATCGAATATCAGGTAAGCAGCCTTGGTACTAATAACTATCACTTGCATTGATGCTGCCTAAGTGGAAATGTACTTTTTAGTGCATTAAGTTAGTGCATTTTAATGCATTTCCAGTTTGAAGTTCATTGAAAATCCTTATTTTTTAATTACCTACCTGTGTCTATGATTATGTTTGGGGTGAGTGACTAATGGATTTCACAGTGGATTGACCTACAATTTTCCAATGTAATGCTGGTTCTGTATATAGCAGGATAATTAATTATCTTTACATTTCAAAAGTTAATTGAACATATGCAGGTAAGAGCAACACTGGTATCTTTTTATCACTATGATAGCTTATGTACTAAGTGATGAGTCATATTCTGTTTGTTTTCACATTCCACTGGTGTCAATTTCAGGTGATTGATGGAGGTCAGGGCGATATCGACATTAACTTCCATCTGCACAGCCCTACCGGTCGTCAGATCGTCTCCGACTACAAAAAGTCAGACAATGCGCACAGGTAAGACCTGTACCACTCAGGAAGTAAGACTGGGATTTTTTTGATGAAGTGGGATTGGGTGGTGCGCTTGGGTGCAAATGACCTTTAGTCAGTTCCGTGTCAAGCTTACGGCCGAAATACACTGCTGAAAGCAGTGCGTGATTTCTGTGCATACAGCTCTAAATAAGCAGATTATTGAATGGAGGAGCAAACTGCCGAAGGAACTCCGACCCTTGCTCCGACGACAAGCTTGATATGGAACAGACTGTAATAGGTAGTCGACCCCCAATAAACTAAAGTATGTGGGCGTTACTTTGTGTCGCTAAGCATTCTGGTGTGTGACTGTGGTTCAATGAATTTTGGCGAGAGTATGCATATGATATCGGTGATAGCTGTACCGAGGTACAGGGTGACACAAAAAAAGCGGTCATCACCAAAATTCGAATAACTTCAGAAGTTTTATTCAAATCATCACCAAACTTCGGCCACTTTAGGTCACACCTATGTAGCAGACATCCACCAAGTTTCAAGTCTTCACTACGAATACTTTTAGTACAGTGTGTGTTTTACTGACGCTCCACAATGTGCTCCAGGTGAGCGCCCCGGCGCTGCAGGGCGTAGGCACACCTGCACCCGGTGGGCAAAGTTGTCGATAACCCGATAAGAATAACGTTTCAGGGGTAGCACACTGTCTCCAGAGGCCATTGCACTCCGTAAAGTGCACAGCCATCGGGTTATCGACAACTTTGCCCGCCGGATGCAGGTGTGCCTACGCCCTGCAGCGCCGGGGCGCTCACCCGGAGCACATTGTAGAGCGTCAGTAAAACACACACTGTACTAAAAGTATTCGTAGTGAAGACTTGAAACTTGGTGGATGGATGCTACATAGGTGTGACCTAAAGTGGCCGAAGTTTGGTGATGATCTGAATTTAACTTCCGAAGTTATTCGAATTTTGGTGATGACCGCTTTTTTTGTGTCACCCTGTACTTCTGTGCCGAACTTTGCAGTTCTTATCTTGTTGACGCTCGTATCAGTTGTTGGAGTGTGCTTGCTCCAATGTTTGTTATTATTATTATTATTATTATATCGTTTATTCCACTAACCACGATCATCGGGTGGGCGTTACAGTGGAACATTGCCAATTCCAACACATCTGTTCATGCAGTAAACAATGATGGTTGGTACGTTTAACGGTACACTGCAGGGCATATGCGAGGACATCCGCACACATTGCCAATTCCAACACGTCTGTTCATGCGGTTAACAGTGATGGTTGGTACATATAACGGTACACTACAGGGTACATACAAGTACATTCGCACACATTGGGTGAAACGTGGTCATCAGTTGTCAGTGTTTGCTTTTGCTAGGAGGTACTTTTTCAGTTCAAATTTTGAGGCATTCCTCATTCTAGTGGGCAAACTATTCCACAATTTAGAGCCATGATATGACAGTGAATATTTCATAAAATCTGTTCGCGGAGCAACCAGATCTAGGTTCTCCGACTGTCTTGTCTCACGGTCAGATCTTCTAGTTATAAAGAGCGAGGATATCAAAGGTGTTGTAATCTCCGGAAAAAGCAGACACTGACGAATTATATTCAATGCAGCAATGTCATGTTCGAAGGCTAAGTCTCTTCGCCATGCCACATTCGCACTCTCACGACCCGTGATACGCCGAGCAAATTTTACAATTTTAGATATCCTTTTCCCCTGTGTCAAGCCACAATTCCCCCATATTCAGATGTTCAATTCAGATCGTGTCTGAATCGTGTTCCAATATTTACCATCCTGATTCCATACCATTCTATGTATATTCAGGATTGTTTAGGCTTAGCCTGATGATTTCGTTCTCATCGCATCTCATCGCATCCTGAATCCGATATCGACTATTTCCGACCGTTATCTGCTGCTTTCGTTAAATTCACATCCTGCTTTAAAAGTTATGTGGTCATCTGACACATTTGTTGATTGATGGCATCCTATTTGACACCAGATGTTATGGTCATACCAGGTTGTGTTTGTCTGTGAACCACATCCGGCCACCTTGCCTCCGCGATAGATATCCGTTCATTCACACTGTGCGATTTCAACAACCAATAACAGCGCACGTCATATCCTACCACTACTTTTTGCCCCGCCGTCGAACCTCTCGTTCCTCCTGGCCTCTCTGCGTCAAACTCCACGTTCCTCCCTCCCTCTTCCCGCCGCTAACCCCTCCCCTCCCCTCTCTCCGCCGCTAACCCCACCTCTCTCTCTCCGCCGGATCAGGCGAGCCGCCGAGGAGGAGGGCGACTACAAGGCCTGCTGGGACAACTCCATCAGCCGCTTCAACAACAAGCTGGTGTTCTTCGAGGTGGGCGTGGAGCGCGAGGACGGCGGCGAGGTGTGGGACAGCATCGAGCACGAGTTCGGAACAGAGGGGGAGGTCTACGACATCAAACTGCAGGACATCCAGGTCAGTCACGGCCCACGAGGACGGAGAGAGGAAGGGCGGGTGGGTGAAGAGGCTGGTGTCGAGAGAGGAAGGAGGTATTGTCCCTGGTGATTGTTTTAGCGGAGTGTGTCCTGTAAGGAGACAAACAATAATTGTAAAGTCTATTCATCATATTTGCATATAATAGCATGATCATTTGCAAGCGGTTATCCGCTGTTTTGTTTTCATGGTTGCACTAATTCACGAGCTACAAATAGCACGATGTATTCATAAACACGTTCCTACGTACACAACTTGGTTCGTCGCTAAAATGCGGCTGGGAAGCGAAGTCTTTTAGCCGGGGTAGTGCGGGTTGGCATGACGTTTCATACTTCGAGATATAGTAATCGCATTGATCTCAGAACTGGCTGAAGTCGAAGTTTTGCTCCAGGTCGAGCTCCTGCTCGGCGTCCTCGATGCGCATGTGCGGCAGCTTTCCCAGCTTCTGGCAGAGATCCCGCCAGCGGTTGAAGCGCTGTCGTTTCATGGCCAGCACCGCGGCCTTCCAGCGCATCTTGGCCGACGTGTATTTGGCCGAGCCCTTCTTTTTGGCGGAGCGTCCCTCTTGTTTGGCCGCCCGTGCCGCCTGTCCGCCCATCGAGTGTTTGAGCATCTGCAGGTCGGAGCGGACTGTGAGTGCCGTGCGGCTCTGCGCCGCCTGCATCACCGCCTCCGAGGGCAGCAGCACCATCGAGTTGGAGGTGCTGCGCCGGAGCGCCGCGCCGCGTCCGGCGCCGTGCTGCTCGTGCAGCACCAGCAGGCTCAGCTGGCGGCCCACCGGGCCGGCCACCCCGGTCACGGCGCCCGGCCGGCCGCCCAGCAGCTCGCGCCGCGACAGGCCCCGCGCCCGCCCGGAGGCCAGCGCGCGCAGCACCCGACCCACCGGCCGCGTCGGCTGGAAGGCGCCGTGGCGCTGCTCGCACACGGCGCCCGGCAGCTGCGGCTCGCCGGCGGCGGCCGCGCTCAGCGCCGACGGCCGCCGGCGCAGCGAGCTGTGGCTGCTCCAGCTGGCACCCAGCGCGGCGTCACTGCCATCCGCTGCCAGCGGCCGGCACATCCAGGCGCACTGCTTCAGCTCGGCCGTGGTGGGCCGCCGCTCGGGCGCCGGACTGAGCAGACGGCGCGTCGTGTCACGACAATCGGCCGTCACCGGTTTGGTGAAGTGCACCTTGCGGTGGGCGGCCGTCAGCAGCGCGTGCGGGTCGCGCAGGTCGGCGCGGGTCTGCGCCAGCGGCAGCCGGCCGCACACCATGGCGTACAAACAGACTCCCAGCGACCACAGGTCGGCACACACGGCGTTGTACGGGTGGCCGTAGAATATCTCCGGCGCCGTGTACACGAACGAGCCGCACTTGGTCTCTGACAGCTGCTCGCCGTGAAACCGAGCGAACCCGAAGTCGGCGATGCGGATCTCGTAGTCGGCGTTGAGTAGCATGTTCTCCAGCTTGACGTCTCTGTGCACGATGCCCATGTGGTGCAGATACTGCACGGCGTCCACCATCTGCCTGAAGAAGGCGCGCGCTTCCACCTCGTTCAGATAGCCCATCTTGTTGACGTAGTCGAGCAGGTCGCCTCGCTCGCAGTACTCCATCACCAGGTAGTATGCTGCCGGCCCCTCGTAGGCCGCGTACAGATCGACCACCAGCGGGTGCTCCTGGGTGAGCCGCAGCGTGGCCAGCTCGCGCGGCAGGAACTTGGAGTAGTACTCGTCGGGCGCGCGCTGTTTGGAGATTACCTTCACCACTACCTCCTTGTGCTCGCGCTGGAAGTAGGCGCGCCGGATTTTGCTGAAGCTGCCCTCGGCGATCGTCTCGAACAGGGTGATGCCCTCCTGTTTGAGCGCCTCGCGCCGCCGCCGGTCCGGCCGGAACGCGTCCTCACCCTTCAGACGCAGCGCGAACGGCATCTGGAGCTGCTTCAGGGCGGCGGCGTCACTGTCCCACTCGGAGGGCCCGCCGTCGGCCATGGCGGGAGCGGGCGAACGACTGGGGCGCAGCGCTTATAGGGGACGCTTATTGCCGCTGCAGAGCGCGAACCGGCGGTCTGCCCTTAGACGATGGGTTGATGAAAGCGCCTGTATCGTTTTCCAGTGAGTCGAGGTCAAAGAACTGCGCTCTAATATCTATCAAACACCAAGCTGGTATTGCATTATAAATCCTTTACATCAATGTAGGCAATGTTTTTTCCTGGGTACCTGAGCGTATTTTACCAAATTGTCGCACCAGCGCCGTTTTGCTTGTAGACATGCTGCCGTTTTTCCATCTGCGCTATTTGAAAACCTTTGAAAACTGCGTTGCTCCACGAGAGTAGCTGGCTCAAGATCTCCTACTGATTCGTGATAGTCGCTGCTTTCGTCGCCACTGAATTCCGTTTATCTGCTTTGAAGAGCAAAGAAGTTAGGAGCTTCGCTGCGATTCCGTGACTGTGTATATACATCAGCGGACAACGCTGAGCCATTCACTTTTATGCCGAGTTGATAAACAAGCATTTCTTGTCTAACTCCGCACACTTTGACCAAGGTCATCACCGGGTTGTGGAACGGTTCAGCTGGGTTCTACAGAAGAACAAGCTCGTAATACTGTCAAGTGCTGACGTTTGTCTCAGTATGTGTGACATTAGGAATAATCGAGCGATTCTACTTGATGTAATGTCTTTTCCCACGGTGTCTGATTTTGAATCGCATTACCCTCCCCGTACCCCCTCCCCCCGGTCTTGCGTAGTACCTGTATCTGTGACCTCGCAACTGTCCCCTTCCCTCCCGCTGTGCTCTGTCCAGGTATATGACCCCCCCCCCCCCCCTCCTCGCCATCAGGACGCGGTGGGCCGGGTGCGCCAGCAGCTGCTCCAGAGCCGGCACGTACAGGACCAGCTGCGAGTGTTCGAGGCGCGCGACCGCAGTGTGGCAGAGACCAACTTCGAGCTGGTGGCCAACTGGTCGCTGATGCAGATCGTCGTCATGGTCGGCGTGGGAATCATTCAGGTACGGACTGCTGGACGATGGCGTGGCGCGTACAATATTGTCTGATGATTAGCCTTTGCTCACCAGCAATATGTCACGTATGAACAAACGTCATTCACGTTTGTGTTGTGTGTGAGTTAACTTATTCGTTAGCATAAATCTACCACTAAGGATTATCTGTCGTTCATCCATCACCTCCTTGCCAGGTGACTATGGAAGTGTATGCCATAGTGGCTACTGGCAAGACTTTCTAGTACTGTTGCTCTAACGGGATAGCTAACCCCTCAGCCGTTCACGATATTCACTGCTGCCTCAAATTTACGGCAGGCTCTCCTCACGTCAGCGTCTTCACTGGCTGTCTCCCCCCCCCCTCCCCACCCCGTCTGACGCGCTGGCTTCGCTCCGCCACCAGGTGGTGATGGTGAGGAGTTTGTTCGACGACCGGTCAGCCTTCAGCAAGGTGTGGAAGTACAAGGTGCTGAGCTGATGTACCCGGGGAGCCGGCCGCTGCGTCTGGTCCGCTGGTTCCGCCCGCTGACGCCAGGTGGCAGTTTTGCAAGGACGACAGGGGGCGCAGCGAGCGGTCCGTCGGAGCACGCCGAAAGGTTGGACACGGGGCATTACGCTGTGGTGAGGGGACCGGGAGTGCGTGATAACCACAAGGCACAAATGACGGAGGGATCGGACAGCGGTGCCGAAGTGTGAACCTCGAGTGAACACGCTGGTGTGCGGGCACGTGAGACATTTAATCTTGTCCCACTTGTGTGATATTGGGTCGGGGCTTTGTTTAGCATGAGGCATCAGTCAGCCAGGGCGCGGGGGATACTCGAGTCGCGCAGTTCGGGGCATTCCGTGATATTCTGTGGATGTTTTGTTCGGACTTGAGATTCTTGATCACCTTCTTTGAGATTTGCAATGCTGATGAGTTGTCCCTGTCGTCTCGTAACCCGTTCGATCCTATTGCTTTTTGGTTCCGAGATTCGGGATTATTTTCACGAGATTTTCTTGGATGATTTTGTTTCAACAGTGTTGATTTGGTATGTATCGGCCAGTATGAGCTTCCGTGGTTAATTATGTTTGCCATTATACACTGGTCAGTGTAAGTCAGTCAGTCGTGACGCCCTGTCCGCGACTCGGGCGGTTCCAGTGGTGTGGTCGCGCGCTGTGACAAGTCCTCTGAGGCGTCAGTGAGTGCCCGCGCCTGTCCTGCGCGGGACAGCTGAACCCTCGAGTCGCTAGCCGCCGCGACTGTGACCGTGTGTGGGGCTCAACGGTGGGTGGTGGGGCCACGCCGCACGGTGGACGGGGGCCGCACCCCGCACCCCTCCGCCAGTACAAGGGGCCGCGCCGGTCATATCTAGTCTCCGGTCCGAGGGGCCGGGCCCGCTCAGTGTCCCGTGGGGACCCCGCTGGCGCTGGCACCGCGGGCAGTAAATCTGACCGCACAGAGGGTGGACGTGTGTTGTGATTCGCACGTTTTCAATAAACTGTCCGAGGTGAAATGCGTGGTGTGCTTTAGAATGACTTTGTGTTAAGTACCTCTAGCACTTCCGCACGTGCAGGGCTCACTCTCTCGCTCGCTCGTCTGTTGCCCCAAAAGGGGGCTTTATGGTTGAAAGTCGGGGATTTCGGTTGGGATGGCGAGGTACTAAGTTGCGTAATGACTTAATTGACGGGCTAGTGATCGGAGCTGAATTATGATACGGAAGTTATTGTTGGTACACTCGGGGGCAGATTGATGTTCCACCACTCCCTACCTATCGGGCTCCCTTGGGTGCCGCAGCACTGGCTGCTGCCAGTCTTGCCTGCTCTCAGCATTGGTCAGCACTGCCTGCCAGTGCCAGTGCTGCCAGTGCTGCCATTGGCAGCAGCCAGTGTTGAGCCATGGGAGCCCAATGGGTAGGGAGTGGTGGAACATCAATCTGCCCCCGAGTGTACTACTCGTAGTACTGCGACAGTCACCGTTTGCATCATCAGCTCATCGGCTTAGGGCCCGTCCGTAAACTCGTCCAGTCATCACACGCGGGGATGTCGCACACCTCCTGATAACACGTATATTGACATAACATTACCGGTACTTCGGCACCAATTTCAACACTAGTCTCACTCGGGCCACTGGGTGTCAGCGCCGCCCCTGACACTCTGACACTCTGACACCCCCGCTACCAGTGTCACTCGGGTGTCGGGTGACCGCAGCGCTGCGCAGAAAGACGATCGAGCGGCCGTCCGCCGGTCCGCCGGGCGGGGCAGGGCCGACTCCCGGCAGCGCCGCTCGAGTCGGGTCGAGGTACGGGGTAAAACGGTCCCCGCAGTACGGGGTAAAACGGCCCCCGCAGTACGGGGTAAACGGTCCTCGCAGTACGGGGTAACGCAGCCCGCCGGCCGGGCACTCTGCGCACACTCTCACTCACTCACTCTCACTCCTGAGTCCGGCGCTCTCTCACTCTCTCTGGGCGCGGCTGAGCCGGGCGCCGACCTGCACTAGCTCCCATTGCACAGGCCGCTGGCGCGTACGTGGCTGCCGTTAGTGCCGTTGGTGTCGGTGGTGCCGTTGGTGGTGAGCTCCGAGACGCCCTTGGTGACGTCCTCAGACTCCTCATCCGCTGACGGGAGGAAGGGAGGGTTAGACACCGGTTAGGGGGACTACACCTCAGCTGCAGCTGAGGCTAGAAGGGCTACCCTAGCCTCTTCAGTTGACGATACGCGCAATTAAAGGTTAGACCGGCACCAAATCCTCTCAGAAATCTGGCGACGCGTGGGATAGAGAAGTTTAGACAAGGAGACCTATCCTACATCCTCAGCTATTGGGGACAGGAGGGACAGAAGACCACCGTCGATATGCATGGAATGTAAGAGGGACGGGTCGGCAACGGCTGTCGTCTCAGCAGGGCTGCAGAGTCAGAGTCGGAGTCGGAGTCGATTTTTGGAAGCCAGAGTCGGAGTCGCAGTCACCAAAAACCATCCAACTCCGTAGTTCTGGTCGTCCGTCTGAGTAGGTTGAAAACTTATGATATTAAACACAGACCGGACAATGACATGGAACAAAAAACCTGGACCACATTAACACAGAAGCTGCCTGAGCGACTGACACTTCAAGGCCTTTAGTCAAACTGAGTGGGGTCTACGAGGAATTCAGAAACCTGGTCCAGTGATACTGACTAATATGATGGCTCATTCAAGAACAGATGAGAGGATACAAACATCATTACTTGGTTAAACAGATAAGCAGCCTGCCTATCCAGACACTGAAAACATTGAAACAGAACAATAATTGAAACATGCTGGACCTAGTACTTAGTACAGCGTACCGTTTTTCATCATGCATTTATGAAGAACAGCCAATCCCGAGCACCAATAACATAACAGCCAGCATCCACTAACAGTCTACCATTGAAAATCGTTAGGCCTTCAGACCATTCCCGCCACCGGGCCGATCGTTCCACTCCTCCCGCAATGTCCCGCTGTAATCGGTGACCCAGTCGGCTCCCCTGAACCCCGGGCGGGGGAGCTGACCGAGTCCCCCCGTATCGCCACAGGCTAGGTCCGGTGAGGGGGTCCCCGTCACTTCCCACCCTGGAGTTTCCGTCCGTCCGTCAGTCCGTCAGCGTTGAGGAAGGGACGGGGAAGATATCCTGTAGCCGGTCCGTCGCCCCATGCTCCAAGCGGCGTTCCTGTAGTCCCCGTTTTCGTCAAAGCGCGAACAGCTGAGCAGATCGATATACGCACCCCACTAGTAACAGCGCAGGCACGGCTGGCACAGGCACCGACGGGGGAGGAACAACGAATCGGCAGCGTCGCCACTCCGCCGCCCCTCCCCACAGAGACAGGCAGATTAGGGAAGAGACATGCCTGCCCCCTCTCTCCCTCCCGCGCAGATAGACATAGGGGCACGCAGACAGAGGTAAGGGACGCGCTTGCCCTCTTTCTCCCCCACAGACAGACTAGTAGACAGACAGGCAGACAGGCATAACAGAGGTAAGGGACACGTCTGCCCCCTCTTCCTCCCCCACAGGCAGAATAGCAGACTAGCAGACGGGCAGACAGAGGTAAGAGCCACGCCTGTCCTCTTCCTCGCCCACAGGCAGACTAGCAGAAAGACTAGCAGACAGGCAGACGGACGAGCAGACAGAGGTAAGGGACACACCTGCTGCACTGCGGGGCCCCGGCCGGTGTCTGTTAGTGTGTCTCCGGCGGCGGCACGGCGCCGGCAGCGGAGGCGGTTAGTCTCCACAGGGCTGCGGCGCGCGGGCGTCCGCCTTACCGGCCGGGCCGCTGTAGAAGTTCTGCTTGTCCCAGTCGTCGCGCAGCGAGAGGTTGTACATGGAGTACTCGGCCTGGCCGGTAACGTTGCCGGCCACGCTGAGGAAGGGCGGCAGCCGCTTCTGCAGCTCGTCCAGCGGCAGTGTGGAGTACGTCTCCAGCAGCAGCAGGTCCTTACACCTGAGCATACAGAGGAGAGTCAGACAGGTCCTTACACCGCATGAGTGAGGGGGTGGGGGTCAGATTATCAATCAAACAATGATCAATATACTACCATACCACCAGTATAACGCCTTTTGGGGCGACTAACGGAGCGAGCGAGAGGGTGAGCCTTGCACGTGCGAAATTGCGGGGGGGTACCTCCAACTGACTTGTGCACGGCACCCTACCAACCGGTCTCTAGTGATGTGCCAAATTTGAGCACAATCGGCCCAGCCGTTCTCGAGATCTGGAAGCGGCACCCTGCACGTGCGCACGTGCAAAATGGGTCCCAACTGACTTTTGCACGGCACCCTACTAACCGGTCCCTAACCATGTACCAAATTTGAGCGCCATCGGTCCAGCCGTTCTCGAGATCTGGAATCGACCCCTGCACGTGCGCACGTGCAGCAGCACCTCAACTCTGGCACATGGATATGCATTGCATAGTGGGTGCCTACCTACATGCCAACTTTCAGCGCAATCGGCCAAGTAGTTACCGAGATATTGCAACAATTGCAAAAGTGACACCTCTTCGTTTTGCACGTGGCACGTGCATAAGGGGTCACCCACATGCATCGGGAATAGTCCAATACTTGGTAGAAGGAATGAAGCTACCCTACAAAAATTACCGCATGTAAATCGGTCAAGTGATTGCTGAGATATAAGCCTCGCAAAAGCGTGACCACGGCCGGCCGGCCCGCTCATACTCAGAAATTTCCGTTAATCTAAGGAAAGACTACGCTCGCTTCGCTCGCTCCGTAACCACATGTTGACCGTGACAAACGCCCGAGACAGCGAAACCCAAGAACGCCAATCAATCAACTCAAAGGTGCATACTGCACAGGGCGCTCCAACAGCCTTCACTGAATCAACAGTAGTCATGACCGGTGTGCAGACTAGCGCTGTATCTCCTTCCGTCCCCATATATCCACCGACCACCCTGACACCAGCCCCGTCCCAGGGAGACGGTTTTTCCCAAGAAACACAATCCCTCAGCCCCTACCTGGAGTGATGGGGCTCGCGGTAGATGTCCAGCTGAAAGTACTGGTCGTTGCAGAGGAAGGCGCGCCGCGTCTTGTAGACGGGCAGGTGGCGGCGGTCGGCCCCCTCCAGCAGGTACGTATAGTCCCGGTGTGAGATCTGAGTCTTAACCTCCACCGTCTGACCCAGCTTCTCCGGTTTACGGATCGTGTGGGTGTACGACCACGTGCCTGTGGGGGACAGGGGAGGGAGGTTAGTGTTGTAACTACCGGGCAGCTGAAGCGAGAGGGAAGAAATAGAACGGGCAGAGGACAAGATACATTGCAATTTGCAAGGGAGACCGTACCGAGGATAATACAAGACGAGACACTTGACAGTCTTGCACATTACACAAGACAGTCTTGATCATAGCGAGGAATAAACTCATGGCGAGAAGAGAACCAATCCGAGGTCGATCGGAAGTGACGCACGCCAGCGAGTTCTTGGTAGCGTGGTCTCCAACAGACGCCGAGCGACTCTGGTGGGTAGCTCACGCACCGCGCAGGCCACCGCCGCGCCTCCACAGCTGGTCAATGTCAATGGCGCGTAAACAATCCGCCGACCAGGCTGCCCATGTAACCGGTATTGCGTCAGACGGAGATAACACGCGCGCACATTCTGGTGTCGTATGTGCCGACTATATCACCCACTCAGACATATTTGTCTTATATCAACGATAGACTCACGTTTCATCCAACTAACACACACCCAAAGTGGGACCACTTCTCGGTAAGAACCCTTCATGCATGAGCTAGTGTTGCCAGTTGCCACAAACTGGATCACAACGTATATCACTGGTTTGCGTAGCTGAAACAACGCATGTTACTACGCATCACCCTGTCGACACTTTGGATAGAGGGTCTTCACGGCGGGTCTTCCTGCGACCTTAGGAGGCGGGGGAGGGGGGGGGTACTATGCCGTGACCTGAAGGTCGCCCAGCAGCCCCACAACGGCACACTACTGACCGCCGCTGGAGAAACCAGAGGACACCCACGAACGGTGCCTGTTCCGAGATAAAACAACATCGGCGGCTGTCGCAATGTGCCGCTCTGTGGGTCCTCATGAGGTACCGGCCGACGACGATGTCAAAGCGCTCATCAGGCCTCCTAGTTTGACAAACTTCCATCAACAGAGGGTAGTATTGGCAGTCAGACCGCGAAGAGGCGCTTAGGACGGATGCTAAGTGAGCCAGCCGTGACGAACGCAAGGCCTCGCGAGATGACACCGACACTGACATCGCATTTGACGCTGACATTGATACTGACACCAGACGGGTGGGCAGCGACGCATGAGGACGGACGAACTGAGACGCATCTGGTGGCAGTCGCCCACTAATTCACTAAAAGCAGTCACACAAGTTTGCCCGTCTGCCGCCGGCACCAGCCCAGCTCGTCCCACGCCACTCCGAGCCAGAGCATTACTCTCCTTCGACTGCCGCGGCTAATTTCCAGCCACTTCTTCTGAATAGGTTTGCAGTAAATCCCTGCCCACTCCTGTGACAGCCCCGCCGCCCCAGAGTCAGCCAGGTCAGCTCTCTGGAGGCTCCGACGGGTCAGAGGCTCCGCCGTGGGCCGTGACCGCTCCGTTTGGACTGGGACAGTTGGTCAGACCCATCGACTGAGACACTGCTCGATAGGAAGACGAGTTAAGAAGTCAGCTGCTACCGGCGACCAGCATTGAACAGCGTATCCGGCCCGGTGATATGCAAGACTCAAATCAAGCTGTCACAGCACATTGTATAGGTACGGATGTTTGAGACGCGGATATCTTGAACTGGGCATTCAGTTTCGATATAGACAGATATCACAAGTATCTGGACACTGACGGGGCAAACTAATTCAATTATTCACTTGTCTTCTTCACGTGCCACTGTGCATTTCAAATCTACTGAAAGTTTTGTTCAATGATAAAAGTAAAAAATCAACAAATCCTGAAACAATCATTAGATAAACGCAACAAAAAAGTGAGCACTACCCCACTCAACGTTCTGCTGACACGACCACGCGGCCGGACACTGTTCGCCCTTTCCCAGCCCCCTTCGGTCCACGTGGGCGGCGTCCGTGGGAACATGTGGTCACCACGTGTGGCCGCACGGGGGCCCCAGCACCCGGGCACGGTCCCGGCAGCTGGGCGGCGGCAAAGACGGTACACTGCACCGGCAGGGAAACTTTCGGTGGTGTCACTGCGAGTTGGCAACGTAACTCCGACGATAAATTCTTTGATATTGAGGTAACTAATGTTCGTTATTCTGCTGCTTTTATGATTTATTTTCATGGTACACCTGACGCGACATTGGTAATGAGCTACTTCTAGTATGTTGGACGAAGTCATCTTCAGACTAAACACAGTGTAGATTGACTGGGGACTTAGTTCCCCAGACTATCTCTGCCAACGGAGTCGGGAACATAAAACCTGAAAGGGACGCCGGCACTGGATGGAGGGCCGCTGCATGTCGCCAAACGTTAACGTAAAAAAAAAAACATCAGAGGGAACATACATAGATCGCGCTATTCGTGATCATACAGACGACAGCGGATTACTGGAAACGGGACGACGGCATCCTTGAAAACAAAACTTCCGCACTTATGAAGCGCACTGTATCTATTACACAACACCGTTCAGTTGCACCCTCAAGATAGCCCTTATCGACTAGCGTAAACACTAGGGTACACAGGGCCAGGGTACACACCAGTGAAGCAACACTCGTTTCACTAAGGTCAACAGGGGCCCTCGTAAGACTTATCACTTCGCTGCCACTGACCCTCTGACCCTTCGCCGGTCAGTCATCACATGTGCTCTGTAATACTTCCGTAATCCGCCCTCCCTCCCCAGGATAGCGGACCCCTCCTCTCCCCCCATGGCCGCCTCCCCCGATATCCCGTCCCCCAGGGACCGGGCAGCGGTACCGATTGCGTTATGTAATCCCCCTATCGACCGGGCATGTCCCCACGGCCCCCGGTCCATGGGTCAGTCAGTCAACACATGAACTCAGTACTCCGACTCGCCCCAGCAACGGTTTGGCAGGGGACGCTAAACGCCAAAGGCCAACACAGCAAACGCCGCGACATTACCGGGCAAACGGAGCATTGAACGGAATAGACTGGCGACCGGGGAGGCTAGAGCTGCGGTTTGAAAGTCCGCCTGCGTGGGGATTAGTCCACAACGCGTTCTGATGGTCTGACGCTGGCTACGTGCTACCAATCGGCGGATATGAATTTTGAGATCCCGGAATCCCAGGGCTATTGACAGGATGACAGACGCCCTCGCGTTCCACATGTAATTTAGCAAAGGGATACACTCAACTGTATAACTTCGTTATCGAGGATTGTATTGCCAGTGGCCTGCCCGGTAAACCCGAAACACAGGAGCAGGTACTTTGTAAACCAGGATTAGTGTGACAGAATATAATCGTGTGTGACGACCCCTGATAGAGCGGGAAATGGAGCTAGAGTTGCAAAATTTCCCCCAAAGGCTGCTACCGGCACCGCCCCGCCCCACAAAAATTTTCTGGGATACCGGCATGCTACCACGACCCAAGCAAAAACACCACCAAATTACCGGCATACTAAAAAACCCTGCAATGTTGATTCTAGCTTACCCCTACAAGAGATGCCACACCTTGGCAATTTCAGTACCCATCCCAGTTCCCACCCAGCAGCCACCCAATGTCCAACCTAACTACGAACAGGATGATTTTGGCTCAGTTGGCCCCACAAATACCCACAATTTTGAAACTCAGTTCCAGTCTATAGACTGGAATATATAACTGCTAAAATATCACGTGTAATCAAAGAGGTATTGCCTACAAAAAAGCAGTAAGAAAAAAGCATCAAAAAAGCAATGACAAAAATAACTTAAATTACTGAATTGTTTCTGAAGACTGGACAGTTCAAGTTAGCAGTAATCACATTAACATTTCAGAGGTGTTCTACTATTCCACATTCTCCTAAAATGTTGCAGGAACCTACCAACCAAAATCAAATTTTGAAATCTAGATGGCCACAACATAAAAAGTAGCTACAGATTCGGCCATGTGCCTGAGGAAGCGAGATCAACAACTTTTTTTCCTTTTCGCCATGGCTTGCTGGCTCATGAATAAGGTACGAATCATTTGAAAAATGTGAAAACTCACTTGTTCACAAAACTCACTCACAGAACAGTCACCAAATAATATGCATAAAAACGATATAATACCAGCTTTCTCGAAGAATCTTCCTCTCCAAACACAAGGTTATCAACTATCAAAGATTTCGAAACAGATGCGCCATAATAACAGAGACTTTTGACCAGCTGATTAAATTGCTGCAAAAAAAGTTTCTGAACTGTAGCAAACTGCCTCATAAATGATTTGTTGATGTAAATGATCCAAAACGATATTGAATTCTGATGTAATCAACATTGTGAGTTAAGTTCACTACAAGAAAATGCATTCCCTTTCAGGAATTAAACCAAAAAGGCATACGAATAAATATTACGTCATCATCTTACATCCTTCCATCAGGGGAGAGAAGATCTAAAAAGTCAATCCTTGGTTCCCCTGTTATTCTGCGCCACTTTGTTTGTTTTGTATGCATATTGTGTTTTCTTGTAAAGATGAGACAAAATGCCAGTTTATTTGATTTTCATTTCATTTTTGGGACCAAAGTCAGGCTCAGGGCTACCTAATACCTGCCTTTTCAGCTGGATTTTCAGTGTCAATTTGTAGAGTATCTCAGACCACATCTCAGGACTCAAGGCCAGTTTCCAAACAATGTGTTTTGTGGTGTTTTGATTCTGCCTTTTCCTCTAGGGAACGTTGTCATGAACATTTATTTATTTTGTTGTATTTTACCTATTACATACCATTAGACTTACTGATTGATCGAGCTTTTGCAGCATGAATAAGTATTCTTCCATTTATTGACCACAGTAGATTCTTGACAATCCTAATTATAACGAAACCTGTGAATCGCTGAGGTCCATGTGTTATCCCTACCCTTAGCAATGTAACTTCTACCACAAAATGTATTTTGCAGTGGCTAATATTGCTGTTATTATAATTTGATAGCCTCTTAGTGTCCAAAGTTTAACCCTCTAGTGCCCCCGGTATCATATCTGTAAGTCAATTTGCAGAAAATTCGCCTGCTAATCATAGAGGTGAAAATTGTTGAAAACCCTGCTGTATCAGAAGTGGTACGTCTTGGCAACCACCTGGTGGCAAAATTTTTAAGTAATGATTTCTCAGTTTCCCACCAGGTGATTTTGAAGAAGGTCAGTTTGTGCTTTGCCGAAAATCAATATGAGATGCAAGTGTAAATTTAAGCATTTAGAAAACAAAAAATTAGTTATTTGGAAAGAAACTTGGCATACTGTGAGACAAATGTTCAACATATATCATAGTATGTTGCAAAACATCGCAACTTTTTCAGGGTCAAAGATATGGACCCCCTATTTTTGGGGATACTAGATATGATACAGTGGGCATAGCACTCCAATATTTTCTATGAAATTTTCGCCGCTGCAACATACGGTGTGCCAATACCATAGTTTTCTCAGGTGATAAGCATTGCAATGGCCTGTGAGTCATGGCAAACGACGATGATACAAGATGCATAAATTTGTGAAGTTCGCACCTCTTGCGCCAGATAACTCTATTTCGCTCCAGACTTAAAATGTCATAACAATATTGGTACGCTTATGCCGCCTCTCATCCTTGTCAATCTTCCAACATCTAGCTTTCTATGAGTGGCCTTGCATGCCTCATACATCTCGACTTTTCTAACGCTCATAGGAATATGGTTTTGCAACTGTTTGACGATGACAAGACAGACTCCGGACCGAAGGGCGTGGTTCCTTTGATTTCCTATCTAAGAAGTAGGCAACCTGCTGCCAAGTTCCAGCAGGTGCCTGACACCTGGCAAGCATTTTCACTGCCAGGTATGTCATTTGTTGTCATATATTGACATATACCGCCAACTGTGGTAGCTGAGTGCCACTGAACAAAAAGGATTTATAGGTACTAAATTAACATGGATACTACTTTTGTACTGACCATAGAATAAAAGTTGCGGCATTGCGTAATGCGTATGCTCACCTCCATATGAGGTCAATGAATATTGTGCAAGTTCCTGCCGATCGGTGCACAGTTACCTGTACCTGTGTTGTCTGACACGTACAACGGTTATTGCACTGGTCAGTGCGCGGCTGTTATACTGACGCCGATGACACCAGGACCGCACGACCAGTCAAAGTACTAACTGACGATTCACAGGTTGAGAGTTTCAGTCACCCGAGATTGTCCGGCTATCATGAAGATAAACCAACATCGTCTTTGGCATTGATCCCGGTCCGTCGGCAGGCTGTCCAGCATTTTGCATCAGAACTACTTCACTTCAACCAATTACAGCGAGCCAACTGTAATGTCTTCATTTCTATATCAAGTATGCATAACGCATCTACGTTTGAGAAGCACGGCCCACATGTCTGAATTATGAAAAATTGCACAAGTGCAACGCGCTGTATCGTGGAAATTGAAGGAATAGAAGGCACTCGTAAATAGATGCCTATGATTAGCGCTGTTCCCTAAGCACCGACTGAAAGGACATTTTGATACAAGAAGGGTGCCAATGAAATATTAAGAAAATGTTCTGATAAAAAGTGCATAGTAAAGGATGTCTTGTTGGCATTTTACACATTTTAACTGCCACTTTTATCACTGCAATTTTTAATCATATAAATTTTCTCATCTATGTCTTCACTTCCTTCTGTGTGGTCTGATACCACTAAAAATTACCAAGTGGAATGCCTAATGTATCATATTTAATACAAAATTTATTTCCGAAATTTGAACTGCGAAAAAATATTTGACTCCAGATTTCGAACAAGGGACCCAAAATGAATCATATGTTACAAGGTGCTAATTTTAGGAACCGTGGAACTATGTGTGGGCATTAGAGGGTTAAACCATATGCTGATATTTTCTATTTTTGTGCAAAATCAAAAATACCGGCATGCTACCGGCAAGACATGCCAGATACCACGAAAAAACCTGCGGTAGTGAAAATTTACCGGCATGCCGGTAGTGCGGTAGGGAAACTTTGCAACTCTAAATGGAGCCCTTTGATCAGCAAGACTGGTACAAAATACAATGAAACAAAGCCTCCGTCATCAGCAAATTACCCGTTCATAAAGCCACACCTCCCAGTTCCGTCCGCGCTTCCCTTGCCGCGCTGTCCCGTTCCCGCTAAAATATGTCCCCATTTTCCCACCAACCTACCCAGTTCCCCCACCCTTCTATTCCGGTTTTCTTACCATTCTGCACCCGTTTCCAGACCAGTTTCCTCACCGTTCTATCCCCGGTTGATCACTATTCCTCCCCGTAGTCCCCACCATTCCTGCCGCGTTTGCTCACTGTTCTGCCCCCGTTTCCTTACCCGCCTATTCCTGTTTCCCTCCATTCCTGCCGCGTTGGCTCACCGTTCTGTCCGCGTTTGCGGAGTCGGGTCTGCATGCGCCGGCTGCCCGTGTTGAGGTAGTGGTGGACCACCTCAAAGTCCTGGAAGCGAGGGAACGCTGACGGGTCAGGCAGCGGTCCGCGGATGAGGAACTTGAACTTCTTGGAGCCGGTGGCCAGCCGGTCGCCGGTCTCAATGCCCAGTCGGTGGCACACCGTCTGTAATCGAACAAACAGCGGCACAGGCGGGTTAGTGGAACAGTCTGAAACCTGTCACACCGCTGCACAACTGAGTCAGAGAGACGGACAGATATTGACCAAGCAGCTATGCACTCACGTGAGAAAAAGCCTTGTCACTCAGAAGTCATAGCCAGACGCAAATATTTAAGACATAATCCACTGGAAAGGACGTGGAGGCGTACTAACATGTCAGGCCTTCCAGCTAGCAGGGCTAGCGACAGCGACAGACAAATGTTGCTAGTAACAAACAGCATTAAACCGTAGACGGGCTCAGCTCAATATTGTCCGCCGCATTGAGCGACCGTCATACGGGTATGGCAACACTCATTGATCGGGTTCCTGGAGTTTACAGTAATTGGCCACGCCGGGACTCCAAAGTCCAAACGGTGGCCCAATGCAGGGCAGCCGCATTTGTCATAAATAATGAATCATTGACCCATTAAGACGGCACCGGTCCAGAAGCTTCTAACGGAGAGACAGGGTTGAGGTCATAACGTTACGTTGATCGTGGTCGTCACATGTTACCGACACGATTGGAAGCCATCCACTCCAGTAAACACTGTGATAACTTATCTCCACGCCAGAGCAAGTTGGTGAGGTAACGAGCTTAGGACCCCTGCGACAGTTTAACTTGGATTTAGCTCATGTCTGGAAATAACGCTCTCACTAACCCGGCGTGCTTCGAGAAACACTAAGACCAAGCAAGGATATTCTACCTTTATATGCATCGGCGAACAAACCAGCATCAGCACATGTGATAACAACTTAATGTTTCTAAATAAGCTCTAACCTTGTTGACGGGGGGGATATGTTGTAAATACAAGCACCGATTGTTCGGACCATCCTCATTGATCGGGAAGTACCAACAACGGACCGGACCGGCCTATACTAACGGAACACCCGCAGAACATCCCAGTGATGGATCCGGACGGCGGCCGCGCGGGGCTGCCATTTCCCTAACGATACTGTGATCGCTCTCCGGACCTATCAGCCATTCCCGGCAGTCGATCGGCCAACACTGGGGAGGGGGCCTAATGACCCGGGAGCTGAGCTAGCGGATGGCCTCGAACACGACAGCCAGAGCACGGTGCCAACAGAGGACCTCCCCCGCCCAAGGATGACCTCTCCCCCTCCTGAGATAGCCAACATCTGGTCACCGCGCCCCTTCCTCCCCCACGGGGACACTTCTGGCAGTCGGCCAGTCAGCCCTCACGAGACCTGCACAATTGCTGTGCCCCAGTGCCCACCCCCTCGCCTGCAGACTGCAGAGGGGACCACTGCCAGCGACCGCCCGCGTCGGAGGCAGCCAGTTTCAGCCGGAATAGTCCACGGCGTCCACGGGGCCCGGCAGCGCCAATGGGAGCCTGACGCATCGCTGTTGGCATGGGCTCGGACCGTGACGGCCCCACCGGAGACGGCAGGCCTGGAGGGATTGCGGTGATCCCAGTCTGAGAGTCCCGTCCCATCTGAGGGTCCCCGTCCCACCAATGTCGTCTCTCAGTCCTATTCTCCTGAGCTGCCCTTCGAGCCGAGCTCACATTTCGACCACGCGACACTGTCCGAGGAAATGTCAAGAAAAGGTCAGCCACCTAGGGAACGACAGCAGACGATTTACGAAGGAATTCGATTTCGCTGAGGTGACCTACAGCCGGCGACAGCGTGGCGATTCGAAGAGGCGATGATTGTTAGTGGGATGTAGTTAGTACGGCATACACTGTAAACACTAACATCGCTTGATTCGTCTGAGCCATGTACGACCCACTACCCGTCTAAAAACAGATGCATAAGTGATGCAACTAACGACACATGGAAAGGGATGTCGCATGTCCCGTTATCATCTACTTCGATCCAGGAAGCACACACATCATTTCCTCCAGGGAAGGGAACAGTCCAGAGTTCGAATCGATCTCTGCACCGAGAGCCTTCGTGGGCGGCACGGAAAGAGGGGGAGGGGAGAGGGAGAGAGGGGATGGGACGGTCATCTCAGTACATACAGGAAGGGGGGCTGGCCTGGAGACGAGGTCCATCGGCGGCCACCGGGCGCCCCCCCCCCTCCGACGCCATCGACCAGCGGAAGAGAAACGGTGTGTCGAGAGGAAAGATGGCGTGTGTAGCGGGAAGGTCTAAGAAACATGGGCAGGTGTGAGCATCCGGGGACGAGGAGACTGGTTCGTGGTGGTCCGTCACCAGAAATGATCACTATAAGCACTCGAACCATGGAAAGAGAATATATATTCCCGACCGGGGCTGGGAAAATGCGTTTTATTCACCGAGGTTTTTGTGCGGAGGACCGAGTGCCGGTAGGCACGAGGTCCGTAGCCAAAAACCGAGGTGAATAAAACTGCATTTTCACAGCCCAAGGTTGGGAAGAGATTTACCACATGCCGTACCGGCGCAACAGTTAATATCATATTCATTTGGTATTATATATTATATTCTCAATATGGTGTTAATATTCTATTAATACTATGTTCATATTTATAGTCACCGCGCTATTTTTTTTTGTGTTTTTCATTATTGGGCGGCGCTGGCCGTTGAGTATGAAAGATGAAATTCCTTAGGTACTTTTCCCTTATTTAGTGATTGAAAAAGATGAGGATGAAGATGGTGAAGCGCCAGAAGTTAGAATAAACTATAAAGATATGGAGTCCAGCAGGAGTGAGGAAACCGTGAGGAAAACTGAAAATTGGGTGAAATGCTGAATCAAACACGTCTTAGATCCCAGCTGGAACAATATCCAAATGTTTCATTGTGGCTCGTTAAGATGCTTTGCGCATTTAAAGTGTTCGTTTTTTGCGTGCATTATGTTGTAATAATGAGTAGGTACTCTGACCTTGTTCTGCAGCAATAAATACATTGGCATTGGAACGATACCTACCCTTGTTTAGTTGAATTACGTTGACAGCAAAAGTAAGTGAAAACGCCGTCACTTAATTTTGCTCACTTCTGCTGTTGCTGTTAGTGAACACACAATCCGAAAATATCTTCTTTGGATTTGGTTCTTCCGCTCAGAATATTCAGTAAAACTTTGTCTGGGAAAATCAAAAAGCCCTAGGGCCGAATCGTTTCCCAAATACCTTCAACATTAGCCGAGGCGGGCCGAAGCCATTTCCCAAATGCACGTGCTAATGTTAAAGGGATATCTCGGCATGTGGTAAATAAAAATAAACGAGAGAATCCTAGTCGTAACTAGCGGTAGCGGATACATGAGCCGTTCTGATAAATTATTTGACGACTTTTGAAAAGGACAGATTGCCCAGTTGTGCTCTGTCCAAAGAACATTGGGCCATCAGCGACATTGAACTTGGCGAGCGACAACTCACACCAAAGAAGAGTTCCGCCAGACTGATAATCGGCGACATCCATAAATAAATCCAATTATCAACCGTGAGTGACACTACACGACAGTCAGTGGGCCGACCGCGGGCCGCGGGACACTACACGACCGCGGGCCGCCAGTCAGTGTTGTGAGTCCATATAGTATATCGTGTAGTGTACACACACACCACAGTGTGTCTACAAACTCTCACTACCCAACCACTGCTTGACTGTCGCTATCGGCAGCCGAGACGGCAGTGGTGTGGCCGGCACCGCCCGCCCGGCGACCGTTCCGCCCGTTTCCGTCCCCATCCCGTCCACCAGACTCCTCTCCAGCGGTCAGCGTACTGACCTTGCCGCGCCCACCAGCAGCTCCCCGTGTTTATACGCCCTCGGTACGCACCAGGCGCCGCCGGCACCGCCTCTCGACCTTGACCGTATCTCGTCGGAGGCGGCGTCGGCAGCGGCGCGGGGGAGCATCGATCCCGGCGCCGGCTCGGATTACACCCGTCGACCGCCGGCGGCGGGCGGTACCCAGAACTGGGAGCACTTCGGCAGACCGGCCCGGCAGCGACCGGCTATTTCGGGGGAAACGGCTGGACGAGCTCCGTCTCAAGTTTCTCATGGCTGTAGTTCTTGTATCAATAAAGCACTTAATGCAGGGAGGTTTGATGCACTCAAAATCATTTTCATTCATGATACTCTTTTGCACACTTCCTCTCCATAACTTAGGTCGAGATCCGCTTTTGTTTAAATACTCTCAGAAAGAAAGAAAGCAGCCGAGTGTTTCTAGGGCAGATTCATCGAATACCCAATAAACGGTATGTTGTCAATCACTGCACTGTGGGGACTTTGCCCCTCCTTGCACGACTTAAAGGGACCCTCCCACCTTCAAAAAAGTTAATGAATTGGCATGAAAGTGATGTCGCTCGGTTCAGAAGGAGCAAAAACGAATATCTACCAAATTTCATCGAAAAATATTCACCGGTTTTCAAGATATTAGACTTTTACTTTTGTTTACTTTTTGGGATCTCCGCTGTTCCTAGCGACTTTAGGTATTTGAAAGTGCGGCATTTGTTGCGCGCAAAGCAGCATATACCACCGCGTGCTACAAAACGTTTTAGTCAAAAATTTAAAAATCGTTAGATATCTGCGATGACGTCACACATTCAGAGGGGTATTCCTATGCATTAGCCCCTCTGAATCAAAATGCTGCAATTTTGAAATTCAATATTTCTGATTTAAGGCATTTCTCGATGTTGTGAGTGCCGAAACCGGTAATTGTGAGCCAGGGACCCCATTTTGGCTATCTCAACTCAAATCTAATGTTAAGGTGGGAGGGTCCCTTTAACTCCTGCGGCGGTACGCCACAGTCAGCTGACCGCCGCGGCGCCGGGCAGCGCGGCGGAGCGCTGGGAGCCATGCGACATCTTCTGCTTTGATGTCTCGTATTAGCTGTTTGGACGAAATTGGGCAAAAGATAAGAGTTGATTCCAATGCAGAATTTATGGGAGAATATTTTGATTGTGTTTCCACACGTACCACCGCGTATCAATCTTTGTAAGGCTATGATTTGCCGAGTCAAATCTCCGAGACAAGTGGCATATTAACATTTTTCGTATTTCATTCAAAAATCATACCTTTAGATTATTTTTCGAACTTTTCATGCATATGATGATATTCCTCATTGAATACAGATTATAAAAACATGTCGCAACATAGAATTGGTACTTGATTAAACGAGTGAGCAAGCGTTTCGTTGTCATGTAATTTTTCGCCTTATCCTAGGAGCACGGTGCTAGTCGGCGCAACCCTTCACTTTGTGACGTATTTTGATGTATAAGTCATCATTTTTAAGCGATTTAAGGTCGGATTCGGATGCACTGGACAATTCTGCGTAGAAAGGATATAAAGAAAGTGGAAATCAAAATACTCGTATTTGTCACTTATGTCGTGCTAGGATCGCAAAAGTCCCCACGGTGCACTGGGCAAGATAGAAAAGTAACAAGCAAGTTAGCGAGAAATTGCATCCACATACCTACCGCTGACAATTACCAGGGCTTACACCTAGCCACGTGTACATTTTCCGCCCGGGCCAACTCCCCCCAGGGAGATGACGGCTCGGGAGCGAATGGCTCGCACGTGCTTTGGCACCCTTCGTTCAGTCCTTGGGTTAGCTAACGTCCTGGTCAAGTTCAAGTCCATGTTGCAAGGACAAAACCCTCCGCCAAAAGATCCCTGTATTCCCAGGGTCAAATACGCTGGGCCGATCCAGTCCCCTCCGCTGTGCCGCACTAAGCGCACTGCGTGCTTCTAATACAGCCACAGCCTGTGTGGCCGCTAGTCGGACCCTACCCGTCGGCCCCTCAGACACGTGACAGTGAGACGGCGGCCGGGCCGGCCCGAAATAACCCACCTGGCGCCGGGCCCAGCGGGCGCGGACCCCTCCCTCCCCGGCCCCACCCACACACCAACATACACACGCGCGCGGGGCCGGCGGACAAGGGCACGACTCTTTACTCGTTAGGCTGAGACGAGCTGGCACTGTTTTTGCACCAGTTGATGGCATAGGGAAGATAATGGGATGGCAGGTCAGCCTTTTCTTTAACCACGTAGCTGGACAATTATCATTGGTCGCCCCATGAAACACGAAAACTATTTAAGAAATAAGTATAAAATATCAGCATCAGTGCTGTCCAGGATTAACCCCATAACGACCACAAGACCTAGATGCCGCTGGGTACAAGTGACCCCCAGATAGTGCCAGCCACACCCCTTCCTGTGGCTGAAGATGGGGGTGGATGTTTAATCTGGAGCCGCCAGCGCCACACCCCCCGGGGGCCAAACTGCATGTCCCGTGAGCTGTGCTCCAGCCCCGAGGGGAGGGAAGCCACGGGTGGGACCTTGGCACGGGTAGTGGAAAGGCAGGGAAGCCTCCCAACGGGCACACGTTACTCCAGAGAGGTGCTGTCAGCGCAGCGATCGAGATAGAGGCAGGGCAGCCGGCGTGTTTTGTCAGAATTACTGGAAATATGGGCGTGAGGCTGGGTAAAAGTGTTTCTGTGTGAAACAGACATGCCCGTTTTGAACTGATGGCAACAGAAACGCGCTAAATCCACCATTGATCGTACCACCAGGCTTCAATTCACAAAAGTTCCAAGTTCCATAACCGTAGGTACTGATCTCGCAGCCGTTCCTCCGTCGGCCCAATCCCATTGCCGTCCCATCATCGACCCACCGTCGTCTTTTCCTGTCATCAGTCTCACTCACCGCGATGGTTCGTCGGATCTTCGTGTCAAAGTCGCACGAGTTATCCATGACGTCGAAGTAGGGGTGGCCCACCCACGCCTCGGCCGCCTTGTTGTCCAGGGTTCTCGCCAGGGAGAGGTCCTCGCTGCGGCAGCTGTGGTCCTGAAATAGGAGAGACGCGTCACTATCCGTTACAGAGGCGTCACGGCCGGTGGAGTGACGATAGTGACGGCCAGTGTTACGGTGGTTATAGTAATGTCACGTCACACAGTTACGGGATGAGTTCCGTGACGGCAGACATGCAATCACAGAAGCGAAGATAGGGAAATGCACTCAGGACGACTCAGACCAGTATTCGTTAATAGGACAGCATCCCTCTCCGTTAGATGACTGTTGCGAGAGCATTGTTGGATAGTGTCCCAATAACAACTTACAAAAGACTTGTAGACCTGTTGCCAATTTAAAATTGAATTTGGGTCGCGGGACAAATCTAAAACAAGCATAAAAAATATTTTAACTGACGTAAAATAAATAAAAGCGACCTGTCGGACCCGAAACCTCGCATTTTCGGTGCGAGGTTTCTGCCAAAGTATTCTGCTAGCGTAGCAAGAAAACTGAGGCCATCGAAAACGAAGTACCTGACTGACGTCCAATAGACTAGGAAGTTAAACGACATCATCAAATGACCTGCACACTTCGTAGCATGTCAACGACAGCGGTCTTTGAATCCCCAGCCACCGACAGGGATATATTAACAATACCGCGTCACGAGACAGCCGCCATCGTGTCAATCACACGACAACGCAACCGTCTCGTGACCCGCGCAACTGACACCGGTCCGGGGCAGCGCGGTCATCAGCAGCTTCCGCTGAGCCCCGCTTCATGAGACCTGAGTAATCTTCACACCGAGCTACACAGATAGGTGACACCGCACGCTCCATCTCCCTGGAAGATCGACCACCCGATCTCAGGCACCGGGTCCGCTCAGAAGTCCGGAGATACCTGACTTCCGTTCAGGGCGTGTCGGTATATCTCTCCCGCTGCCTGGCGGCTGAGGTGACACAGACAGCTCAGGTGGCGGTCTGCCGTCGGCGGAACTGACGACAGCGACACCAGAGCTGGGTCGTTCACTGCCCGGACACCGCCGGTGGTTAGGGGAGCTCAGAGAACCGACCTATGGCCGGGGAGGAGCACCATACTTCCGCCGAGATGCAGAACGCGGATGTCCTGAAGTAAGTTCCTTCGATAACTTCAATGGGAATTTGCTTCTAATCAAACACAATTAGTCCGGCGGCCCATTCGAACTGAAGCGATCGGCGATCACCCAAGCACTGCCGCGGATTGGCCAGGTTGGTCCCAAAATACAATTTTCAAAGTATGTGTAATGTATTCCCAGCCATGTGAAGAGCCCATGCCCCATTCCCATTCGCATTATGATTTCCAATATCATCATCTGGGAACACTGAAATGGGCGACCATCACGTCCACCCAGCAGGAACACAACTGAGGAAGTCAGACGAGACTCGTTTGCTGAAAAGCGCGCTGAGACGAGACGGTAGCAGGACTGAGACTGAGACGAGTGCTGGCTGTTGAGACCGGACTAGTAAAAACGACACAGGTGTGGTGTGGGTGTTTGTAGGCATGTTGGGTGCTGAGGGGCGGAATCCCGACCGAAAGTGCCTCTGCCAGCTTCTACCGGCTTCCAACGGGTGTGGCTGCACTCGGTACCGCTACTATCTGGGAAGGTCCTTGTATTTACAGATCACGGATGTACGAGTAAACGGGTGTGAGTTGTGAGTTGCAACCGCTCCTAAAACAAGCAGCTGTGCTGTTTGCAAATCCAACTGAGATGTTGGATCCAGCTTCAGCTTCAACAAGGTTAATATGACACCAATTCCCAGCGACCACGTATCTCAGCACGACGTAAACGTTTATGTCATTTGAACGATTTCCAGAAACCCACAAGATAAGGATTGAGGAAAGCAATCTATTCATAGAACCCAAATACGAGCACATGGGAGAGCTGCAGCTAAACAGATAAATAAGCGGCCGATTTGAATTCAGACGGTCGTCGGAAGCTGCTGGCACATCGCGCCAGTCTGTGTATGGCCGCTGCAGCAGGCGAGCTCTCTTTGACAGTCGTTCGGCCACTAATTATAACTTTGTTAGTGGAGCTGACAGCCTCTGAGGATCTCTGCCGGGTACGAATTGGCCAATACGCGAGACATTTGGTTATCGGTAAATAAATGAAAAATGGGTACGTGTCGAGGGGCATACAGCTAAGAAAAATGAAAAATGAGCATTTGAGGGATATCGCGCAGTAGCGGCGGAACACCTTCAATTAAGGGGGGCACTGCCGACTTTTGGCCCCATTCTTTCCATGCAACGCCCATAGGGCTAATGTTAAAATGCCAAAATCAAAGGGGGCACGGTGCCCCGGTGCCCTCCCCGTTCCGCCGCCTATGATATCGCGGTAAAAAAAAACTTATCAAACCCTCGGTTAATCGAACGCTTAGAGGGCGACCATCTTATCGTTTTAAGGTCTGCCGGCAGAGCTGCGAAGCTCTGACAGCATGTCAGGCCCACGCCGCTGTTAGTAGCACAGCAGTACGGACTAGCCGCGCCGTGGAGACTGTCCCCCGCGGAGCCACGGCGTGCGGCGGACCGAGCACAAATACAGACGGACGGACGGACGGGGACACGTCAGTCTCACACGGTCACACGCGCCGGACGGAGGACTGCGCCGACTGGCAGTGGCCGGTCGGTGGGTAGGTGAGGGCGGTGTGCCGGGACGTGTGTGGTGGACGGCACAGGGCGGCGGCGGGGGCGGGGGCGGGGGCGGGGCGGCTACAGAGTAGGCGGCGCGGCTGCACAGAGCGGGCTCACCAGCGCGAACGGGCCGGCGGCGACAGCCCAGTGACGGGGCCCGTCCTGCGGCAGACAGCGGCGGCGGCGCTCGGTGCTCGGACCACCTCGCCCCCGTCCCCCGCCCCGGTCCCCGCCCGTTCCTTGGCACACACCATCCCCGCCCCAGCACACCGACCGCCTCATCCCGACACAACCATCTGACACAGACACTGCACCACAACACTGACACACTGTCGACACTTCGACATCACAAGACAGACCGGGCGACCAACAATGGCTCAATCAGTGAAGCCTTACACAATTCACAGGACTGCATCTGAAAGCGCACACGACCACCGGATGACGGAAGCGAGGCGGAACCGAAGCAAAGCTCCGCGCAACCACAGTAAGAAGCCATGCATCGGTTTTCATACCACAACAACGTTACTTCAGATGGTATCAGCCACGTGAAAATTGTGGGGAAGAGGTACGTGTAAACAATGGCAGGTAATGGGAAGCAGTGGGAAACATTGATTACACTGGGGCAATGAAGAAACTACTTAAACATTATTCTTAGGGAAAACCAAAACGAGACACAACAGCCATGACAATTTAAAGGTAGCCCACGGGCTACAGCAGTCCCTGAAATAGCGCCGTGCTGATCTGCCTTAATGCTAAGAGCAGATTCCATGCGCTAGAAACAGCTCCTTGCTCTATCATTCTAGTAGGCACTTGATTTACACCGATGACACGGTTTACAAGATAAGGACAAGATAATTATACGTATAACACGAAGTCTTCCAGGCGTGTTCTTCACTTTACACGACCCCTCGATTACAGAGTAGATGGGAGGGCTGGTAATGTTTATACAAGGTCGTGCGTTAAAAACGAGTCATCAGACAAACTACCCGTTGGCGGTGACAGGCCAAGGTCAGACCGGGTTCATAAGTCACCACAGCCACAATGTAGGGCTCACATAGTAACTATGTGAGCCCTACCATTATCACCAAGGAAAACCGTTTGAAGAGACCGTACCAATAGTCCAATAGCCAATGGACTATCGTACTAGCTTAAACACAAACCCGACCTGGGTATCACCATTCCGCCCTCACCACTAGCTTAGTACGACAGCGTTCAGCTCATCCGTCTCTCTTCTCTAGTCGACAAGCTCCAATTCACAATTCGTACACGCCACTATATCTTCACAGTCCACACATTGGCCACAATCTACACATTTACAGCCCCAACCTCTTTTGCTCCGCAATCCGTACCACTCGCCTCTCGGCCACAGTCCACACCTTTCCACTTCGCAGTCACAGCTTTATACCATTCAACAGTCCACACACGTCTCGACCGACACCCACCCACCCTATTCTCACAGCTCCATTAGTACGTCGTGGGGGGGGGGGGGGGGGCACACACACACACTCACCTCGAGTGAGTAGAACTCCTCTGCACCGTTGGCGGCCGAGACCATGTGGATGATCTGGTTGTAGCGGTTGTCACGGACCTCCACCACCGACGACCAACCGTTCCGCTTCATTATCTCATCCCACTGCTCCTTAGGAACGACTGAAGGAGACACGGAGGACGGTCGTCAGATGTAGAGAGACTAGAGCCTGCTCCTTAGGAACGGGCAACCGTGGGGGATATGGAGAGTGGAACAGGGACGGGTCAGCGCACACAGACTGGGGAAGGGGGTAGTCGGACAGCTGGACGAGGCAGTGATAGTGTGGTGTGTCCAATGTGGCCAAATAACACGGCATTTGAAATTGAAGCACGGTAGAAAACCGTCCGGCCAAAGCGAAAGATAGGAAGAAGACGTCAAATAACGCAAACACCAGCCCGAGTCCTGCCAATATTGCCTCCTTGACTAGTTTGACCACCCTAAAATAACTCATCAGATAGACAACAGACACAAATCATTCATCAATCAAACATAAAACAGTATCAGACCGGGTCTGTGCACGATTACACAATACGTCTGGTCGCAGACTGGACAGTCACTCTGACACACTGCAGTCCGCTCTGATTTGACACGTGTACCGTCTGCTTATTCACCGATATTAGCTAATAGCTACGTAAGTGAAGGTACGCAAAAAAAAAAAACAGCCGGTACGGATATACACACATATAGACTATACAGCCAAACGGCTGGCTTCAGTCGTTGCAGCGGACTAGGGCGAGTCCTAACCCAGCGCCCAGCTCAGCCTGCGATTGTCCAACTCACAGGCGCTAGCGTCCATGGTCCCCCTGTCGCAGATGATGAGGCAGTTCTGGTCCACCGTCTCGGCCAGCTCGAAGTACGTGTTCTCTATGGAGACCATCGTCCTGAACAGGTTGTTCTGGAACTCCAGAGCTGCAACAGACGGTCGATAGACGTTAAAGGTTAGCGGGGCGCGGCGGAGAGCGAGCTCAAGGAGCTCGGTCAACGGGCACGAAAGGTAGAGCGACCGACACGGAACGTCGCGTGGGGGCTGAGATTGATGCCCGGCGGCAAGGAGAAAAAAGCTCCTCAGTCCGCGGGTCAGAAATGGACCGGTGATGAGCCGGGACCGAAGAGCGTATAGCTGGCCCTGCGACACGTAAGGTTGATGCGGGAGACGCATGAGCACCGATATTCGGACAGGGCGAGAGGGATGAGGTGACGGTGAGGGTTGGAGTGGAGAACACATCAGTCGGAGGACTCGATCAATTAATGTTCGTGATTGAAGTGATCAACTCGACGACCACCTGGCCAGTTCGTGACCGGTCTGATAGTGGTGTGCAGCTGAGATGCTTCCGTGAGCCGGCGGCTAGGTCGGGCCCGCAGCGCACTAACGCCAGCTTTCGGCACCGATCAAAGGGCCATCAGACCCTAAGAGCGATCACGGCACATGACCGATCAAAAGACCATCAGAGTCTCATCGCGATCACGAAAATGATTTACACCGATGCATACCATATCTGCTAGTTCAAGACCGCACTAAGGTGAAGTATCGAGAGCGCAGCCTGGCAGCCGTGAAAACAAACGGGGATGGGTATAGTGCGTGCCAGCGGGTAGAGTGTGAGAGGGAGAGAGGAGAGAGTGAGACAGCAATGCGAGCACATGCCATCAGTGTCAGTGTCAGCGCCAGTGTCAGTGTCGGGAGCGGTGCCAACTGGGGCCGGCCGGCCGACAGCGGCTGTCTGAGGGGGTCTCGGTCGCTCCCTGGGTACGCAGTTCGACGCTTCACGTCAGTTAGCGCACGGTGTCCTCACTGAGCTCCAGGGTCGTCCATGGACGACCTTGGTCGCTAACTTTGAGTAAGCCTTCAGCTCTTTTTGCTCTATGTGACTGTAGGTAGGTCATCTAGGATAACTGCTCAGTCCGGGGGAAACCTAGCGGTGATAACGAACCGGACTATTTATCTTTGCCTGTAACAGACCCCGATCATGGCCATGGACTCGACCGGACCGCCTCCAGGGGCGCGTCTCCCACCCGACCTTGACCCACCAGAAGGCTGCGCTCTCATCCTGATGAGCCGGCCTGATGGCACTCCACTGCGAGGGAACCCGTTCGCCATCATCAGGGAAATCCGCTCGATCTGTGACTCGGAAGTCGAAAAAACCAAACAACTCGGATCTGGCAAAATTCTCATCTCGACCTTCAACAAAGACCAAAGCTCTGCCCTTCTCTCCTGCCAAACCATGCTCGGAAAACCTGTTTCGGCTGTTCTTGCAACCAACCTGATGTCATCGCAGGGTCTCATTCACTGTCCGGACCTCAGCGACCTCTCTGACGAAGAGCTCCTCACCGAACTAGCCCCGCAGGGTGTTATCGAGGTGCAGAGGCTCAAATCCAAGGACCGAACTCCAAACCCCCTGATTCGACTTCGCTTTAAAGGACTCGATCTCCCAAGAAAGCTCCTCTGCGGGTACCTCTCCGTCCCTGTTCGACCCTGGATCCAGCTGCCAAGGCAATGCCGTAGGTGCTGGAAGCTAGGCCACTCCATGCGCTCTTGCCGACGAAAAGAGACAGTCTGCGGGCAGTGCTCTGCCAGGGACAGCCACCCCACAGGTGACTGTACCTCGGTCCCAAAGTGCCCTCTCTGCTCTGGTCCACACCCAGCATGGGACCGAAACAGCTGCCCCGTCTGGAAAACCACCAAACGAGACACTCGAGAGCGAGCGCCATTCCAACCCCCGCCGCTCAACTCCACAGCTTGGCCTCCACTTGAGAGTCAGCACCGAACGATGCAGCCCCCTCCGGCTCGCACAGACGCCTCTGTCCAGACAGATGGTGAGGTCATGGCCCCTAAGGCGACCGCAGTCCCTGTTCAGACCCAGACCGAGACAGCCAGCTCTCAGACGACCGACGCCAGCACCCAAACGACCAAACTGACCACCTTCGACTCGACCTCTCAAACTCGACCCGCCCGACTGGTCTCTGCCGAAGTCCAGACTGACACCCCCGACTCACCGACACCAACCACGGACCCCGACGACTTCGGCTGCTCTCGAAGCAGGCCGTTCACCCGAGGCTACACGGCGAGCTTCCAGCCTGACAGCCCCCGAAACGACACCGACGATCCCGATCCAGACCTGATCCCGAAGAGACGTCCCAGGGGTGAGATCCCTCCACCTGACATCGGGTCGCTGAAGTTTGAGTACGCCAGCGGCAGGCGACTTTCCTACCCTCCCTCCACCCTCTACTGGTTTGACCATGAAATCCGACTATACGACCTTGACCTTCGCCCAGAATCCAAAGCGTACAGGGCAGCCGTGGCTGGCTTCTATTTTGACGGACCCCCTCACCACGGACGCCGTATCTTCCTTCAGAGAATTCCTCCAACGGGTAACCACTAGCCCTACCAACATCGCTGCCTAGGAGTCGAGCTATGCCTCACGGCTACTCCTCCAGAGCCACCAAATTCCAGTCAAAGTTGTACCCCTGAGACGGGCGGGACATGACTGGGGCACCCGGGTCACACCGGCTGCCATAACCCGCTGGCTGTCTCACTCGGTAGGCCGGTTTTTATTTTGGCCGATCCCTGCGAACAGCCTGCGCAATCACACTTTCACTGTCCACATTAGAGATATAACGTAACGTAACTATTGCGGGGATTTTTACTGTACTCGACAGTTTTTGCCCCTTGACTTAGGCACCAGGTTTTTTCTAGTTAGGACTTTTCCTGGTAAATACATCCCACAACAAACATCACACATTGCAACACCTCACACCATCAGCAGCAAGATTTACAGCAGCAAGTATGAATATTCTACCCCTTTCTGGACACCCTTGCCTTGTTAATCGGACGCCACATGAGCCGAATTAAAGTAAAGTTTGCTTCTCTCTCTTGCTTGGGTCAGAATTAAATAGCTGACAGTAAAGTAAAGTAAAACGAAAGATCTGGCTCATTGCCAGCCTTAGTAATTTCCCCTTCCCTGGCGGTTGCCTTAGGCATGCCGGGAAGACAAAATTAAAAAAAAAAAAAATCCCTGGGTACGGCAGTACTCGGTGTGAGCAGACAGACACTACACCCGCCCGGCACCACAGCACCACAGCTAGCACTGAGCTACCAATACCTGTTCATAAGAACAAACCGCCCAGGCGGTTACAGCTGAGCCATATAACTGGGTCACAGTGGTGGTGTCAAAAGCAAACTGTTTGAATGTGACCGGCATTTTACAAAGCTGTCGGTTAGAGATCGATTGAAATGATCAGCCATTTGGTACGCGAAGAATGCAGCAAATAAAGACGTACATTTTCAAACAACAGCATGTTCATTACCTCAATACGCATGAATGACCTCCCACTAACTGATGGCAAAAGAGATGATTGTCTATTTCTCATCCACTCTTTAGCTCTTAGACACCCCGAAAAATACAAACAGCAAATTCATACCGACTCTTTTCAATCGGCACGCTGCTGACTGGGCAAATCCCATGCTATCACATCCTGTCCTGCCGAACGAGATACTGCGTCCGTTTGGGCCCCCAGAAATCGCTGAGACGCTGCCTTCGGGTGACCACCTCGGTTGGGAACTCACCCTGGGCGGAGCTGAGGTCGCCAAACTTGATCCCGCCGCTGAGCAGGATCGACGCCGTCTCCGGCACCCGGTATACCTGGGAACACAGGGAGAACACAGCGGTTACACCTGGGAACATAGGGAGAACACAACAATTAACACAGGGAGAACACAGCGGTCCGCTGGATGGACACCGTCTCCCGGACCCAGTTATATCTGGGGATCGGGAACAACGATTAGGTGGGGAAGGCGCAGGGAGTCGTTGCGTGCTTTGACCACCAAATGCTTAGGAGAGAACGGAAGAAAATACAACATCGCAATTTTGGCTTCAGAGAACACCGGTGAGCCAGGGAGTAGCTCGTCCAAGGTCCTGCTGCTTAACGAAGACACACTGGACGGCGACTCGCTGCTGCCTCTATGACTGGACCTTTTCTCATCTCGCTGCATCCGGGTTATCACCTTACGGCGTCCGATTACCGTCGTCGTACACCGTGTCAATACGACCTCCACAAATGGACTACACGCCCGCCCAGCGTGCCGTAACACGACACCGACACGGAGATGGCCAGAGTAGCAGGCGGGGACTATCTCTTAGAACCCGACAGGCAAACCACTCCAGACGAAACCCCTACGTCCGGACAGAGGAGATGGCGTGGTTTCTCTTTCTATGATTGAGACTACCCGGTGAATCTTTGTGTTAATCACCACATGGACACGCGATACACGTGTCCCCAGTGTTCGAGAACACATGTCCTTCGTGTTGGACACGCCCCCGGCACACGGGTTGGCCGCATATCACACATGGAAGCAGATACTGGGCTGGATGGACAGGGAGCTTCGTTGGGGGCCGGTGAGAGCCGCGCAGAGCGGCCACAAGAAAAATCATCGAACGAATGGACGGACGGATGGACAGACAGGTGGTGGAAACAGGCACTGCTCCGCGGACAGCGCGGTAACCAAAGGTCCTCCTCCCCCGGTATTCGCTGGGGCCACCCCTCCCCTATGTATGCTCGACTACGCTGTATTGATTGCAGCCTGTGCCGTCGCCAGGGGCGGTGGTGGGCTGTGGGCGGGGCGGGGGGCGAGGGCGGGGTGGGGACGGTTCCGCAAGCCAACATGAGTAAACGAAGGAACGGCCGGGACCGAGCGTCATGTGGGAGCCACGTCGAGTCATATATGCACGTTAGTCATTGAGCTAAACTACTTCTGAATATCAACTCCGTAAGCTCAGATAGCTCTCCACTATCTGTAACCATTCATTGAATGAGGTTTCTAGAGCACTCTCATTGATCACCAGTATTGCACCAAGCGCAGCAATTCATGGAGTAGTGAGGTAAGAGTTCCGGTGACCGTGGTATCCACATCCATCGGACACACATTTGACCCCTTGCGTTACTGATCAGGTCTCCAACATCCCCCCTCACCTCTAATCCCCGACTCCCACACAGCTCAATCGTACCCCAACACTCGCGCGAGTACACATGTAGGTCAAGTGATGCATAACGCACTGACCGCTGACAGACCCTGGCAGCTGCCCCATCCTGACATCCGCTGACAGTCCGCGGCGGTCCGACACGACCCGGTGTCGCGTGGCCCCATGCCGGCGGATGGCGTCACCCACAGCCACGTGGTCGACTCGAGTCAGACAGCGAGGGGAGGTATCGATCCATAAGAGCCCGCCGGCGCCACTCGTTCCCCGAAGGCGAGGGTATGAGGCAGTGCCCCCAGCCCGCGGCAGGGTGACTCAGGGGCGGATGGCGCAAACCGAGACCGGTACACTGCGCAGGCGGAGGGCGTCCTGGAATGTAAAATAGATGATTTGAGGAGAAATGAATGCCTCTTTCTGGTGAACCTATGGCCACGTCATATGCCAGATGGCAAGTTCCTGGCATTGGAATACAGTTCGGCTTTGCAGACTGCGAGAATTATGATCTTTTCTAACGGTGAAGATAGATGCTGCGTTTAAAAACACGACTGTGTCAAGGTTTTGGTGAGTAGTTACCGGGCGATTCGTTTATTTTGGAACCGGAGTGGACGGGACAGTCTAATCAAATTTTCCTTCTCGCGCCGACCAGTGTTGAAGGCCCAAACGAAGAGTAACCCTCGGTGGTATGGTACGTTATGACCGTAGGAAGTAATAAGTTATAGTGAGTGGTAACAGACCCGCAGGAAAGGATAGGAACCGGGAACAGGCGAGACTGGCGTTAGTTTTTCATCGCCTACAGCGCTGCTAGCTTTGCAGACACGGGCACACCAGACCGTCTCGCAAAATAAATTATAAACCCCTCAAAAACCCAGACCCAAACCAGACCAAGGCCATAAACCAGACACTTTAAGAAAAATAAACTGGTGAGCATGTAAAGGCATATGGTTGCGTGAAGCTGAAACCCTAGATCAAGATAACTTTGCACACTCCCCAGAAATAACATTTCGTTAACTTATGATATGGCTTCAGTAGACCACCGCATATTCGCCGTATTTCGTAGACCACACGATTTCCCGGTGGGCAGCTATGTTTATCATACCAGTCACCACAGCTCAGCGTGGTTTCCGCAGCGTGACCTGTCATGTCATCCCAGTCGTAGCCTCATGATCACCTCTCTGCAATAGTCGGGACGCTGCTGTATGGCTGAATCTCAGCACGATCATGATGGGCCACTCGCAGAGCTGACGGTTCGTCTGAAGCGGCAGTGTTTATTTATAATTCCTAGTAGACGCTGGGCGGAAGGGCGTACTACACACAGAGCCCATTCACAGAGCCGCCGCGGAAAGGGAACGGAGTCACTGACTTCATAATGGTCTGAGAATCGTCGAGAGATTAAGTGTGATATTACGGAGTACGGAGTTTTCTACCGAGAGACCGGAGCGGTGCATATTTCTGTGTGCAAGTCAGTTTTGCATGAGTGAGTGGAAAGAAGACAGGACATCAGACAAACGGCTCTAGTTGTTGGCAAGAAACCAAGCCCTGATAGACATGATGTAAATGTCCTCCCCTTAGCTAGTTCAGAACAGTCTAGGTGACAGTAAACACTTCATCCGATGGCGACGGCCAGACTTGACAATAGATAAGGCAATGTAAATAACGACAATACAAACGGATGCAAGACAACACACACCTCAACCATCTGCAAGGTCGATGTCATAAGCTTATCGCGACCGCATTTGGGGACGTGAGTGCCTACTATCCACTCATGTATGGATCATACAAATTTTACGCGATACAAACAAAAGAGCCAGCGATACGGGAATCACGGAAAACGGCTACATAAACCACGATTACTCTGAATACTGGTAACTTATTCGGATCATCCTTCTGAATGGACAACTTTCTACGAGATTGAACTGTCCAGAGCAACTGCTAAAGGCGGCCAGCGGATGTCTTGTTGAAAACCAAACGGTTCCACAGCAAACAACCACTCTTATCATCACAAACAGAGGAAGGCTGTCTAAGTGCACGTAGCGGCGGGGTTTTTGTCTGGAGGACAAATGACAATCCCTTATCGCGGACCAGATAAGACCGATAGATATATAAATATTGGGCAAACGGGGAGGCTTGGAAACGAGCGTACAGTCCACAGCAGAAGTAATGTGCGGTTTCAGTCATGCGTATGTTTTGCTTCTGAAGCTTAGGAACGATTAGCCAGACTACAATGAAACTTTGCTTGTAGCTTACATGTATCGTTACCTTTGCAGCTGCAACTTTATCTATTGACGTCTTCTTTTCGATCACTCCGCATTAAACAATCGCCAGTCAAAGCCATTCGTTGAGATTGGTAAAACCGCACATTACTTTAGCGGTGGGCTGTATGTACTTCCGGGATGACGTTACGCTAACGTGAAGGGTTTCGTTGTTATCTTATCACTACGTTGAACGTAGAGAAAAACACGTAAAGCGAAGAAATATGAGCACAACAAAAACACAGCGGCGTCTACTTAATTAATCATCACAGCTTAACGACATTATTTCACCCATGAAGAACGGCTAGCTTTATTCGTCTGAGCTGCCCACAGAGATTTGACGCGTTATCTTCTTCCTCACAGAACTTAGCGACAACGTTTATATTTACCACGGTTCAAATGCAATGTTTCCTACCGGCCTCACACCCGGAGTGAACAATAACAAACAGCGGAGGTCCGGTGATGGCCAAAACTACGGGACCAGCACCAGAATAGCGCCAGCGAGGTGCATTTCTTTCTGTTTGGAGGTCGATAGTCCAGGCAACCTTATGGTGGAAAGCAGTCACATAGGCACAATAATTTACAGCAAAACAGTGAATTGCAATGTTTTGCAAAGCTGCATTAAGATCACAGCTTCTCAAAGCATCAACATGCAACTTCCTAGTAAAAACCCCAATGCATCTTCCATCAGCTGAAGGTACTCACCCTCCATCCCAGATTCTCAAAGAAGGTGCTGAGTCTGGCCTGCCCAGTGGTTTTTCCACCACAAGGTCCTGAAACACATAGAACAGAAATCCATACATGAAACTATGCATTTTGCATTATTCTGCAATGCTTTGGCACAGCATCAAGGTGGGAGGTTGCCCCAAAACATCCATGGATCAAGAGCAAATGTTTGTTAAAAGGACTGCAATAAGAGGCACATTGCATATCATTTAATTGCAATATGATGCCAATGCTGATGCATGATGCATCAATGATTGCAAAGAACTCCCACCCATCACAATCACTGGATGTTGATTACAATGGGATGTGGGAAGGTTTGAAATTGAAATTCTGTAAGATCTGACATTCTTAAGCTACTGACTATTTATCAATAAAATGCCTGGCATGATAATAAGACTTTGATTCAAGATCATAATAACAATAACAGGCCTCTGGCCTTAGCCTGGGCCCTGGTCATAATAATTCACACATGCTAGGTCAAGGAAGATTAACAACAGCAGGTAGATAAGTACAGCTAAAATGCATATATTTTTCTGTGCACTTTCCTAATTGCTTTGCAAAAACAAATGAAAAGCAATTTATTTCACATAATCATAAAAATATTACAAACAAACAAGGCAAACAAGGCTTCAAATGCAAATAAGTGGCAACAGCAATGCACAACAGTAGGAACATGTTATACGGTATCCCACATGTCCCAGGTAAAATGGGTTCTTAGTTTTTAAAAGGGCACATTTTATCACTCACAGAAAACAGCATGCACAGCCCCACAACACAGCCTTTTTCATTATTGATCGCCATGATGTTGTTCTGGGTTAGGGCGCGTAGCAGCTTGGCTCTTGCGTCCAACGATCGCCATGAGAGAACCCCAACAGGGCGCCACAAATGTCTACGGGGCACCAAACACTCACCTCCGGTCAGTACCACCTTGTAGATGACGCGATTCATCTTGTTGAGGCTCCCTCTAAGCACACGCGTCCTGTCACCGCATCGTTCCGAACCGTTGTGCTCGTGGAGCACCGGAGCGCACGCCGTCGACCGTACACCGCGGAGCAAGCGCGCTCCCCACTTCACCGCCAGGGCCGCCATCAGCTTCAAACACTGGTCTGCCACCTAGCGGATAGTTCTAAACCTTCCCAGGATGTTTCTGCCATTTTGCGTAGATGTCGCTTGAAGCTACACAAACTGGCTTGCGAGGATGGGCACACTGGGCCTAATTGGGCAAATACCTGTCACGTATTTTTCCAGTTAGTTTTCGTAAACATTAAATTTCAGTGTGTAGCACTGGTGAACACAGATATTCTCAATAAAATCTACCATAACTTCTAGCAAGAGCAACAAACAGTGCCTATCTAGTGCTGCCCTCTGTGCAATGCCAGTGCCGAGCGCTGCCACCCCGACAAATACCGTCTCACTCTCAACTTCTAGCCTTGTTCCCAACTGTTTCACGCGATGAGCTTCCAGCGCATACCAATATTGTGCGAAGAAGCAAACTGGTTATGTGGGTAGGCACTAGAAAATCTTATTTACTACTGAAGAAATGAGGGGAGAGAGAGAGAGAGAGAGAGAGAGAGAGAGAGAGAGAGAGAGAGAGAGAGAGAGAGAGAGAGAGAGAGAGAGAGAGAGAGAGAGAGAGAGAGAGAGAGAGAGAGAGAGAGAGAGAGAGAGAGAGAGAGAGAGAGAGAGAGAGAGAGAGAGAGAGAGAGAGAGAGAGAGAGAGAGAGAGAGAGAGAGAGAGAGAGAGAGAGAGAGAGAGAGAGAGAGAGAGAGAGAGAGAGAGAGAGAGAGTCTTTATACAGTCGGATACAATTGTCGCCACTCTCGGCAAACAGAAGAAGCAGCGGTGTTCCGTTTCAGCCCTGCCGAATGTGCCGGCTCCCGTGCGGGGCGGTCTGACTGTTTGGGGAGTCTCCAGTCCAGTTTCCACAGGGATGTGGGCTCTGTCAATAGGACGGCCGAGTCCGGCCTGTATTGATCCGCCCACATCACCGTTACATCTCGGCAGTCTTTGAGCGCCAACAAAGCAAGAATAGAGTATTCGTGTTATGCGGCACAGTATCGCTTCAGAGTTCAGGCGTCAACTACTGGCGACATCTATTGAGGAAATCATAAAGCTCTGCAGCCCCGTAAGTCGCCCTTCTAATCCGGTCTTCTTCGAATAAAGAAAATACTCCCATTCGTTCAACCAGTGATCTTGCCAACACTCTTCAACGCCCACCACATTTCATCTACCACTCTAAAAAAAAGCACGCATCAATGCAGAAAAATAAACATTAAATGCATAAATGGACAAGTACCTAAATTGATCAATCCCGTCAAGTCTTATCCCGCCCCAGTTTAGTCCGTCCGATTCCATTACGTTCCATGGTTCGGTCCGTCCATACCATTCAATCCCATCCCATCCTATTGATTTGGACCGTCTCTTCTCATCCCGTCCCACACGTCCGGTACTACGGGTCTGGCCTGTTCCAGTCTCGTCAAACCCCCGGCCTGTCCTGTGTTGACCTGTTCCATTTTGACCCGTACTGACCTGGTGATTAGTTCTGAGATAACTGGCGCTATCTTTATTTGATCCCGTAACGTTTCGGCATCGTATGCTCCATACTCATGTGTTGGCTGTTTATCGGCCGGCCGTCTCTCTCTCTCCCTTATATCCCATTCACCTTCCACGCGATCGTTAAGAGGGAGGAGACGGTCGACGAGGTAAGGAAATGCAGGTAAGTAAAACCAACGCAGATGGTCATGGAGGGGTGGGCGGAGGAAACGTGCTCAGCAGCAACCGCTGCTGGTCCGCTTCACTCGCCCGGGCCGCGTTGAGTGGACCTCAGCCGTCCCGCTCACGGCCGGCCCGCTGGTGACGTCACGAACCCTCCGGCGAGGTCAGGTCGGGTCACCGCTCGACAGTGCCGGCCGGCGCGGCGTGGCTCTAGAGGCCACTCTGCGGATGCGCGTTTGAGCAAGGATGCGGCGTTACCCCTTCGCCCCAGTGGGGGTGGGGGCATACGTTACCACCCTGTCGCGTTTTTTGCGTGTGAATAAAAAAAAAAAAAAACGCGGCGCGAAGCGCCGCGCCGCATGAAGTATCTTTCTGAACATCAATTTTGGCCAATGTGTGATTTTTTTACCCCAGGTCATGTCAGGTCAGGTCACCAGGTCAAGTTAACTGACCAAGCCTAAAAAAGTTTGCAATCATGTCCAGCCTGCAGTGTTTGTCAGAGAGGTGTTAAACTTGGTGGATTGCATGATGTTATGGGCACCTATAATTTGTATATCTCGGATTTTTTATATCCGTGACCTAAGTTCAGGAGTCAGGACAGTGGTGTACCTTTCCATTATAAGTCACTGGAGAAAAATGAAAATACCTCTAGATCGGTGTGTACTCATAGGAACAATCCAAATATTTCAGAATCACAATGATTTGGACCACCCGTGACGACCAAGGCGTCTGTTTTGCTGATAGCCTCTAGAAAGGTCATCCGAGGTCATTTGAGGCTACAAACAGATTTTTGCCAATAACTCCCGATTGGAAAGAGATAAAACGCTGGGGATGGCTTCATAGTGTTTGTCTTGTCGAGACGCATCGAATGATATGCAGCATGACCTATTTCGGTCACCACGTGACCTTGACCTGAGGTCAAAATTTGACCTTGAACTTTCCAGGTAAAAAATATATGTTTCGAAGCGGCTGAAGGAGAGAAACACGATAGTGCCATTGCCAATTCTTCATCTTTGCTGGTTCAAAAGTTTTCGTGAAAAAGTTGTACCTACCTATCCAAAAACAGCTATTTTCATAATATTTGACCTATGGAGGCTTAACCATTGACCTGAGGTCAATATTGATAATTACCTTATCAAAAGAAGAGTTCAACAGCTATCGATTGCTTTTCTATGCGTTTTTCTCATAGTTCCTGAGATAACTGCATGTTTTCTGAAAAATATAATGACGTTTGGCAAATTTTGAACTTTGATGACCTGCAATGACCCCAATATTGCTCTAAGATGAAAAAAGATCGAATACTTTCAAACGTACGCATCGAGAGCTATCAACTGCTTTTTACCGCGTCTTTCTAGCCCTCTTAGTTTTTGAGTTATAGGTGGGTGGTAGCACATGCCACCCCCCCCCCCCTCACTAGGGCGAAGTTGGCTGAGACCGCCACTGGGGCGTGGGTTAACTGGCATTTGACCCGTAGTTATCTGGTCGGTGTCTTGCACTGACCTATCCTGTGCTGACCGGTGAAATACCTCCCTGACTGGTACTTCTCGACGAGGCGCTTTCCGCTCGTCATAGCAAATGCAGGTAGTTACTACACGCATAGCCGACATCGGAATAAAGGAAATGGCATGAACAATGAGCATGCTAGAAATAATAGCCAGCTTCATCACTTCAGTACAATAATAGACCGTCCCATTTCATCACCCTCTGATCACCGCATACGGCTAAGGGAGGGGGGGGGGACTAGTCGTCTGTTCTGCGACCCGGTCCGTCGCCCGAGCTGGCAGCGGAAAATGACCAGACCAACGGCCCATTACTGGCTGAGACTCATTTAGCCGCCGGGTGTCACCCCGCCAGACCGGCTGGTGCCGGGAGACACCGAGACACAGACTGTGGTCTGTAGGGTCTCGGTGGCAGAGTGATGCAAGCAGACTGGCGAGTGGCGACTGGGATGGGACAGCTAGCTGGGTTGCTGGGGTCCGGGGATGTACGGTGTAATCAGTACACCAGACAGGCTGGTGGCAGGAGTGGGACAGTTGGCTGGGTCGCTGAAGTCAGTGGATGGACAGAATTGGATCAGAGACGCAGTGCAGGGACGGCTGGAGTTATAGAGAGAGACTCCAGCCGTCTACCATATAGGGCGTGATACGACCTTGGCTACGTCTGTTCCCACTGCAAACCCTCCATTGCTCACGAACTGCAGAAGGTGCGACTGACCTCAGGCTGAGCTGTGTTTGATCATCGCGCAATGTCGTACAGTGACGCACATCAGTTCTCTTGGTGTCACTGCTCGCGCCTCGCACCAGACTACCAGACAATAGTCTCCCGGCACCGCGGCGCACTTGTTAATCCGACTTCAAACGATCTCCCGACACGTATAAGGATCCTTTTTATAAGAACCCAGCCTGAGATTGCAGCAACACGTATAAAGTGGCGTCAGCAGTGGCAGTTGCAAATAACGAGTATCAAATAAACAACGTCTCTCAATTGAATACACGACACATGAGTGCCAGACTGTAAGTAATTGAGCCAAACGACAGTAGATTAAAAGTATCTAGCATCTACAATCTACATACTATCTAGAATGGAACCACCCAAAGACAAGGCGCATATCACTGTGTATGAAAGATATATTTGTTATCCGTCCCCTTACTCACGGGTATGATTTCCTAAGCGATTTACGATCGTATTCGTACCTATCTTTAACCCTCGCCGGACCTATTGGTTTTCTACATACGCGCCGGCCGAGGGGGGGGGGGGGCGGGTACGACCCCCCTCGCCGTTTCGCCCCTGGTGGAGCTAGCGCGTCGCGAAAAAAAACGAGCGTGTGCGCCGTTACGAGACGCAGAGATTGGTACCCGATTTTAAGGTCCTAGGTCAACCGGTGACCTCTGAGGTCAGGTCAAGTGCCCCAGGGTACGGTTCAGTTTTTGGTGAATAACTTCGCAAAAAACGGCCGCAGAGCCGCGATTTTGGCAGCATCGTGTTCGCCTTGCTCAGGCGCGTCGAATGATATACTTTTTGTTCGGGTCAGGTCAGCTTAGGGTGTTGACCTCAGGTCAAGGTCAGGTCAGCACCCCCAGGTCACGAAGTTGGTCGAAAGAGGTCATGTCGCATATCATTCGATTCGGCAGGTCTTCCTGAGTCCATTGGTGGCTTTCCCGACTCGCTAGCTCAATTTGATCGAGAGTTATTGACGAAAAACTAATATGACCTTGATGACGTCATAAATGACGTCACGGCAGGTCAACATTGCAAAAGTGACGCATCTAACCTTGCAAGGAGTGCATCAAATCACGATTCTGTGTGCTGGAGATAGTTGGAGATCGTTCCCGGCGCCAGAATAGCAGTTTGCATTTTTCCCCATTGACTTATAATGGTGAGGTCACGAAAATGACCTGACCTCATATGACCTTTAGGAAAAATCCGAGATATACAAGTTGTGAGATTCATAATGGATACTATATCCTGCAAGTTTCATTTCCCTGTGACATCTCCTCTGGCAGTGAGGGCGTT